AATGTCATGTTTAATGTTTTTGATTTGTACGTTCTTAATTTTTGGGTTAAATTTAAAACCAAAACACATGTAATATTAAAAACCAGATCATGGCTGGGTTTTTGCACTAGGAACATGGCAATCATGGATATCACACACCGTTTCATGTGCTTGACTTGTGGTTCTTTGAAATTCTTGATTTTTTGGTGCCCGTTTCAATTTGCCATTGATGCATGCAGATGTTTCGCTGACACAAGACATTTCTCCTTGATAATGGTTGGTGTCAAGGAAACCTATCATTTCCTGGTTTCGGTATATTTTACGATCAAAAACCATTTGGATTATCAGATTTGGAGAAGGGCCAGTTTCCACTCGGGCAGCTGGTTGTTTCGAGGAGTTGTTGGCCAGACCTGCAGATGGTCGGCTTTGGGTGGCCGATGTACCTGACGTGGAGTCATGGAGTGAGAAGGACATTTTTCTGCCATTTTCTAAACCGGCTGGAAAAAAAAATCCATTTAGATTCATCAGTTGACAGCCTCCGTGTGATTAGGTTGGTTTTTGCAATTTACTTTGAATGGATGGATATTGTTGATGTATATAGGCATTTTTTTTCCGGAGACATGAAACGATTTGTGCCTTTGCCGGCCAAGGGGTTTTGTGGCAATCTTTCTGCGTCAAATGGGTCGTTGCCTTTTGCGGCTGATCCCCTGTGCATCTCATGGGTATGTATTTGGGGATGCCGTCATCCCGCAAATTTCAACCAATCACCCACACTTGTATATTTTTTCATAGACAAAGTATAGAAAACCCATGCTTTCGAACGGATCGCTACCCTTTTTCAACCAATCTATTGAATCACAGGTTTCGCAACATGGAGTTCCTGAAATGTTTGGGAGATCCTACATGTAGTTTTCCCATGTTTTCCCATGAAATCAGCAATCAAATGATCCCTGAACGCTTGAGAAAGACAGATTCGTAGGAGGTGAACAAAGCCTTGGATGGAGTCGTTGGGCGGCTCCTGACCAGCCAGGGGAAGGAACGTGGCTTGGAGGTTTGGTGGAAAAATATTCCAAGAATCACAAGACATGGGGGTAAAATAAAAGGTTTGTTACCATGCACCCAATATTCTGGGACACCAATTTTTCATAATTTTTGCAAGTCCACGTTGTAATGAAAAAGGGAACACATCCCATTTGTCTGTTCAAATACATGAAGTTCTTGTTTATTGTTGTTTTTCTTAACAAACCAACTTCAAATATCAGCAAATATCCATGATTGCAGCTGAGTTTCGCAAAATGACAATTGTCCGCCAATTTTCCCCAACATGCCCAACGTTTTCACCATTTTGTCCATGTTTTTTCCCCAGCATCTCCCGATTTTTTTCCCAAAAAAGTACCACATTTTCACCCATTTTTTGTCCCGGCCCTGAGTTTCAGCAGCCCTAGGACTTGGCTGAAGAGAAGACCTTTTCGCTTCTCTTTGCCATCCTGCAGAGCTGGCAAAGGCCAAAACGATGGCTTTATGGTGGATAAAATGGTGGATAAAATGGGGAAATGGTGATTGAAATGGTGACTGAATATGATGAAATGGTGGGAAAATCTCATCTCCAATAAAAATCCTAGATTCTCCAGTGTCCACCAATTATTTGTGGTAATAGATGGTTAAATGGTAACCCAAAGAATAGGAATCATCCAACCATTTGGGGATGGTTGATATATATCAGCCATTAACAAAAATGGTGACTTTGGGGTTAAAATGGCAACTAAATGATAAAACACATTGGCGCGACTTTGAAGAAGTTGATCATGTTGGCTTTTGGGATGTGAAGTGGGACAATGATGGACGATGCACGGTGTGGGTGCTCAGATCTTTGTTTTTATCCCCTGAATCACCAATTCCGATGAAGATTGCTGCGCACAAAAAATCCCCGACTTAGAATTCCCACATTGTCCCCAGAATTTTACGACATAGACTTTTCAGTCTCCAGAGGGCAAACTTTCGCGATTTTCTTGGCAGACTTGATGAAGCTCTTCAGCCCCGAGTTATGGCCTCAAAAGATCCAGATCAGCGAAGCAACAAATATGTCCATAGAAATTTACCATTTATCATCCGAAAATGGCGACAAAAGGGTTGTAGGTTGCCAACAAAAAAAAAGGGTGAGTAGTTTTTCAGCTGCTGAGATGATGGCTCACCACATGTTCAACTTCAACCCAGGCCTGTATTTTGTTCGTTGACAGGCTCATCATGTCCATCAAGAAATCCCTTTGCTTTGTGGGTAACCCTTCTCAATTTTTTCAAGCCTTACTTCCGCGTTTTAAGATTTACATTCCCTGTGTTTGATGGTGCTCCCTTCATTTTCGACAGTTCAAACTCATTCTTGAGGGTGAAAACAGGTTTTGAAGATGGTTCAATTCCCATGTTCGATTCTTAAATCACGTGAAATCATCATTTTTCATGCTTCAATCCTAATCTTTTGATGGTTACATCCGCATTTTTCATGGTAAAATCACATGTTTTAATAATTTTAATGGTTAGATCCAATTTGTAAACGGTAAACATCCCATTTTTCATGTTGAAATCATGGTAAAATCCCACTTTTTGGTGGTTAAACATCCCCAGCTTTGACCCTCCGATCAGCTGAGGTGGTCGACCTCCTGACGGACGCGGCCAAACGCTTGGGTGCTGACGCGCAGAAGCTGCGCAAGAGCGGTAGCGCTGCCAAGGGCAAGGACTGCGGGGATATGAACCATTCATATGTGTATATACGTATATATATATATATACATATGTACATATATATATATATATATACGTATATATATATATAGATAGAGGTATAGATATAGATATAGTGATATATTTATTTTTAGATACACAGATGTAGATGTTTATACCATTTTATATAGATATATGGATATACAGCCATATATCATGAAAGGTAGAACCAACAGATAGCTATGATTGGGTTATAGTAGGGGATTGACCATCACAAACAGAACATACAAAACATGCAACAAAAACTAACATTACATAACATTACATAACATAAAAAAAACATACATTACATACATTACATTCATTACTTTGATTACATACATTACATACAAAAGAAAGAAACAAACAGACATACAGACAGACAAACAAACAAACCAACAAAGAAACAAAAACAAACAAGCAAGCAAGCAAACAAAGAAACAAAGAAACAAAGAAACAAACAAAGAAACAAACAAAAAACAAACAAAGAAACAAACAAACAAACAAACAAACAAAGAAACAAAGAAACAAACAAACAAAGAAACAAAGAAACAAAGAAACTTGGTCAAAGGTGAGCAGCTTCGCAGAGGTTTGTCACTTTTCTCATCTATATCCACTGTTTGAGTTTGAGGACAAGAAATACATTTTGACTACCTCTCTGACGTCTGTTTGCACATCCGTTTCATAGTAATAGGCCTCTTCAAACCCTGATCCATTTCTACATATTTCTACTAAGTAGAATTGTAGAATCCCATGGGTCACATTTCAGTTTCCTTTTGGTCACATTCCCACCTTTGTTTTTGGGTCTCAATCTTTGAAATGGTACCCATCAGGTCACGTTGACTCCAGGACAAGTCTGACGCCACGGGGGCCGCCTTGCGTAACGCTTCCAAGGCGGTTGGGAAGATGTTTTTAACTTAGATTGTTTGGGATTTATAGTGATTGCAGCCAAACAAAATACACTATTTTTTTGGATGTTCATTTTTCCAAAGTCTAGACTTTCATCATCTAGTGGTATGGTGATATTTGTGAGCAAGTGCTATGGTGCTATGGCTTGTATTCCAGGTCGACCGCCAGTACAGGACTTGCTTATTTCAATCAACAATGATGCCAGTGGACCGATATTCATGAAGGATTTCTTGCAGTCTGACCCGTTTCCAACGTTCAAGATAGTGGTATGGTGATATTTGTGAGCAAGTGCTATGGTGCTATGGCTTGTATTCCAGGTCGACCGCCAGTACAGGACTTGCTTATTTCAATCAACAATGATGCCAGTGGACCGATATTCATGAAGGATTTCTTGCAGTCTGACCCGTTTCCAACGTTCAAGAGTGGCAAAGCAGATCCAAGTCATAATAAAAGTTGCCTGAGTTTTTTATTCTGCTGTTTTGAATGGGGAGTCTTTGCCGCCACACAAAAATATTTGCCATGGTCAAAAGTTGGACTAGATTAGCCTATTGCGGATGGTCATCAGTCCATTTTCACCCGGTGTTTTGCTATAGCTTTGTATTAGCCACTATTAGCCACTACAAGGAATTCCTGATGGTAATATTGACCATATATGAACACATATATTAACCATATATTACCCTCTGGTAAATTAACATAGACCCTGGAAACAATCACTTTCTATTGGAAACTAGTCTTCCAACCCCCATCTGCCAGGGTCCAACTGTTAATTTACTGGAGGGTAACTATCATTATATAACTATCATTTATATAACTATAGATGTTTATAACTATTATTATATAACTATCATTTTTATACCATATATTAACCATATATTAAATATTAACCATATATTAACCATATATTAACCATATATTAACCATATATTAACCATATATTAATATTAACACCATAAACCTCAGCTGCGCTGAGTCTCAGGTGGCCGCCTTCTTCCTTCGTTGGAGCTGCGAACGTTTGTTGACCTCGAGCGAGAAGCGCGCCGCACGACCTCGCCGCGGCAAGGTGAAGAAAGCGACCTGCGGAAGCTGTTGGGGAAATATTCACATCAATATTCACATGGGTATGGGTCAATACCTATAGATACATTTTTAGTGGGATGAACATCCATTTACCAGCTATTTTGGGGTTCACTAGATACCAGGGTTTTGACCCATCCCCACATCATTACATACTATTACATAGTAGTATACTACTACTAACTCCAATGATGTTACATACTATATTACACCATACTCACTAGTTTGATACTATTACATACTACAACCAATGGTTGCATCACTAGTTGACAACAACTGCTGATATTTTCTCCATTGGCTGCTGTCTGGACTGACCAACCTGGGCCACACGAATTCCTGTGCAGGGTAGCGCTTTGCAGCAGGCTGGGCGTCGCGTCGCTGATCCAGAATTGCCAAAGACGTCCCATGGTAACATGGGACATCCCAAAGGGTCATGGGTGACTTTCTGCAGGGTGAAAACTCACCATCGCATTTCCAGGCGGAACAGCAAGCAGCCCTGGAAGAGGCTAAGGAGGACCGAGATCATGGGTCGTTGGACATGGCCCCCAATTTCTTGGTGAAGCACCACCCTGTCAAACAGAAACCAGTTGGTTGATGATATTTGGGTATATTATGCATATGTATACTATATATATATATATATGTTTGTACAGTTGAGGATTCTTGCAATCCACGAACTGGTGTCTCTATGAACCAAGAGTACCGGATGATAGAAGCTTTGGAGCACAGGGTGGTAGCCATGGTTATGCTCTGCTGGAACCTCATCCAAAGATATCCAACACTTTTATGGTTCACTCGTATTTTGACCCATTTCTTCTTTGGGGCCAAAGCCATTTAGAATTTTCCTGTCCCCCCAAAAATCAGCACAGATCTACTAGAATTCAGCAATTGTACAGTAAGATCTCTCTTATCCCCAATCATCCAGGATGATTTATCCTTTTTTCCAAGATTTCTACAATGTTCTGATGATATTGTCCCCCTAAATATTCCCGTGATATTTCCATGATATCCTCATTAAACCACCATTTTTTGATGGCTGATTCACCATATTTTCATGGATGCTTCACCATTTGTTGCTGGTTCAATCACCATTATTTGTTGCTTACCCTCTGGTAAACTGACATAGCTAAGGAAAATCACTATTTTTAATGTGTAAATCCACTATAAATTGCCATTTTCAATATCTATGTTAGTTTACCAGAGGGTAACCCCTATTTTTTGTTGGTTCAATCCCTCCAAAAAGTGGCGATTTTCCCCTGATTTTCACATCGTTTTTCCCAGGCCTCCAGGGCCTTGGAACGACAGCGCTCCATGGCTTTAACGGAGCTCAATGGCCTGGTGGCGCGAGGCTGGGAGATGTTCAGCGCTTGTTAACCAACAACACATGGTGAATTAAGCCACCAAAAAATGGTGATTTATCCACCAAAAATTGTGATTTATCCACCAAAAATGGTGATTTATCCACCAAAAAATGGTGAATGAACCAACAATCAAGGTTATGATGATGGTTTTCATGAGAATTTCCATGGATTATTTCCACTAATTTTCATGGACATAGATTTTCATGTTATTCCTGAACTGATGACCTCACCATATACCATGCTTCGGAAGGGAAAACACTGCAAAATAGGCTACTTAGTTTACTGGAGGTGCAAGAATTCATTATAATTTGCCAAGATTTCCGCGTCTGCCAGGTGCCATGCCATGGTTGTGGTTGAGCGATCCTACAGGCTGGCAGCAGGCGGGATGGAAGCTTCTGCTGGTTTGGGAATATCAAAAAAATCAGCAGAAAACCGTAGGACCCCATCAGCTGCAAACATTCAACTTGAGCAGCCTTCAACCCCCCTGTTTGTGGATTATGATACTGGGGTTATATACTACCCAATACATTGGGGATTCTTGCAATCAATTGTGGGAAATCCGTTCTTAACCAGCCAGTATTGTTAGGGCTGGTTGGAACGCAGACGGAGCTGTGTGCAGGTGGCTGGCGCCTGTTCTGATGGCGGTTTCTTTGCCTTGGATTCTGCAGAGGTGCAAATTTCTGCGGAGCTCTGGGAATGTGTCGTAGCTTTGGATGATGATTATACTGGTAATGACAGTGGTGATGATGATCCTGGCTGATGATGATGATGATGATGATGTTCTTCCCTCGCACAGGCGCTGAAAGGCAAAGACACCAGGCAGGCGGCGCAGCAATGTATCGCAGCACCTTTGCTCCAGGCGCAATTGTGGCCATGGCTGGCATGTGGATGCAATGGGATTACCATCACAGGATGTTGGTTGATTGTCATGAAACCATTATATATATATATTATATATGATTATCATAATATGAATATTTTTCTATTCCAGGGATTACCAAATGATCAGGTAGTCATTTGGTAAGAGAATTGGAATGGTTGGAATGGCTGGGCAACGCCAGGAGGGTCAGCAGCATTCGAATCTACTGGTGGCCACCGTCTCCAAATTGCTTCACGGCCTGCGAGGGGTTGAAGGCCGAAAATCTGACCTAGCCCAGCTTCACAGACGACTTTTTTTCGGAGGGTTGTTCTTCATTTCGACATGGGGTGCTCAGTTTTTCCTTTGCCAATCAATTTTGAGATCTTTTACCAATCGATCCAAGCTGGGCCGGTTTTTTTTTGAGTCCCCATGTTGCCACCTCAGGGACTGCTGCCTTTGCGGCCGATTGCTTGTTGCAAGCGCACAGCACGCCCTTGCCGCGACTGTTCCTCGTGGAGTTGACGCAGTATCCTGGCGATGACATGATTCGAGCAGTCCAAGACACTGCACGAATTCATAAAGCATCTCTTTTACACTGATCTATGGGCCATATGGGGGTCTCTTAAAATGAAGGATCCCCAAGTCACCCATGGTTTCAATATGAAAATGCTCTAATGACTGGATGATTTGGGGTACCATGACAAAACGGACACCTCCATGGAGAACTGAGGCATTGCACTGCACAAGAACTCACCTCTCAAGGCGCTTTTCAAAGGCGGAGTGCTGTGGCAGGGGATGGGACTGTTTTCACCCCCATTTTGGTGGTAAAATACCCACTTTGCACCTAGAATCAAACATTTTGTGGTTGAAATTTAGATGTTTGTGGGTAACGTAGTTAAAGCATCCCGAACGTTGGAGGCGAACTGCTTTTGGGTGCGGAAAACAAGGGACTGAGACATCTCTGTTGCGGCGATGTGCAAGAGGCATCTGACCCATGATGCAACTGCGTGTGGGACACCCCTCAACAAAACAAAAAATGCACAGATTCGAAGCATTGATGAACTGGCTGATCACTCCACAGATCTTTGGCGGCTTTCCTGGTCGCGCTCTCTGAGCGGTTGCCACATGCGGGGATGCCTGGTAAACGCATCATGGAGGGTGGCCTTTGCAGAGCCGCAGTTGGGTCCCGTAGTTTCATGAAGAAAGGTCCATCCAAGAGCTCCGTCTTGGTGAAAGGAAACGTGGCCCAAAACCTCTTATTGACAGCTCGGTAGGATGTGGCGATCCATGGGGTAACATTGGCACAAAAGATGATCATTTTGGGACCTGAATCCATCCATTTGCTGGCATTTTTTTTGTTATCACCCCCAATTTCAGCCGCTGAAAACCTCACTGTCCTTTGTTATACTATTTTTGCTAGTCAAACCAGCAATGTTCGTTGGTTCGATTCCAATTGTTCCGAAATCATCACATTTTCTGAGTAAAGCCATCCATTTTTCTTGGATAAATCGGGGGGGGGGTTCACCCTGATTTCCTCCATTTTTTTGGAGCTACTGAGGTGGTCTTGGCCAACATCAGCGTGCTGCTGCCGCTGTTGGATGTGGATTGTTACCCCATCCGCCAGGCCATGGAAAAGAAAGGGACATATTGGGGATTTGTTGGGTAATTTTTTTGGTAAATTTGGGGTAAAATCATGTCCAGTATCAATTTTATATCAACTTATTGATCCTTGAGACAGTTGATACTGGAAATGAATGATTGGGTATGAGTTGTATGAACCACCATTCTCGGTATCAGCTGTAATCCATGGGTATTGACATGTGGATTTGTTGGATTTGTTTGGGCGATTTGGACTCATGGCCATGCGCCACGTTTTTGTTGTTTTTGCCATAGGTTTCGGACGATTTTTGAGGTTGTGGCTAGTGGCTGGTTGTGGCTGGGGCAGTGGACATTACATGACATTACCACCCCAGGGTGTTAAATACTGATGACACGTGGCTCGGCCTGAAAGTAGGGTGAGTCAAACTCCAGGGGTTCACCATATTCCAGATGGAAAAAACATCATTTGGGAATTTTCCCAGAAACCCATCTCAACAGCATCCTAAGCTGTTTCCAGTGCGCCCTAGGCCATTGTTGAAAGCATTGGCCATCTCCTTTCAGCTGAAGGCGGAGTGCTGGCGGATTTGGTTTCACCATGGGATTTCATGCTTCATTCTGCAGCTGCCAAAGGTGGGTAGTCTTGAGGTTCATGGATCCGTTCATCTCATGTCCACCGGAAGCTCTTCGCTTCACCTTTTCAATTCCCTGAAGTGGGTGCAGGATCGATCATTTTTTGGGCCCGCGCTTCTTTCAACTAACATCAGTGATGTCCAAGGTTTTGTTGACAGGATCCTTTCAGAGGCCGGGCCAACTGGGAATGTACCACACTGTTCTTCCGAATATCCGAGATGCATGGTTTATGCATCAAGCATCCTCAAGCCATTTGAGCCTCATGTTAGAGATCCTGACATATGGTCAAGATGACCTATACCCATAGCCCATGCTACCACATCAGTCGTTGATGGTATGAAGGACCCAAGGCAGTGTTTGCTTGTAGAATGGCTGGATTGGTAGCAGATTCATTTTGGCAATGACATTGGAAGTTCGGAGGTTGCATTTCACTTTACGGATTTCTTTGAGGGCAGGAAAAGCATGGCCACGCAGCGAACACACAGGGAGCTTGCTCCCAGATATGCTGCGGGGAAAGTCCCTGTGCCTTGGGGCAGAAAGTGCCACTGGGAGACCGGAAGACCTTGGCACTAGAGCCATCAGCGAAGCACAAGTGGAGTTGTGGTTCTGGTGTTTTGGTCCTTTGCAGTAGCAAAGTCATGCCGTGAGCGTTTGCAAGAACGCCAACCGAACGGGGCTCACTCTTTCCATGCCCTCTTCCAACAGATGTTTGGCAGAGGCACACTTCAAACCGTGTTTTCTGGATTCGCAGTTGAGCAAGGCAAACAATCAAGAGACAGACTGTGCTATACACAATTGAAAGCAGGACGCGCTTGTGGCTGCTTGTATGATGGCTGGATTGGTAGCAGATTCATTTTGGCAATGACATTGGAACTTTGACGTTGTAACTTTGCGCAGCTAGTTGTTTGGAGGTTGCATTTCACTTCACAGATTTCTTTGAGGGCAGGAAAAGCATGGCCACGCAGCGAACACACAGGGAGCTTGCTCCCAGATATGCTGCGGGGAAAGTCCCCGTGCCTTGGGGCAGAAAGTGCCACTGGGAGACCGGAAGACCTTGGCACTAGAGCCATCAGCGAAGCACAAGTGGAGTTGTGGTTCTGGTGTTTTGGTCCTTTGCAGCAGCAAAGTCATGCCGTGAGCGTTTGCAAGAACGCCAACCGAACGGGGCTCACTCTTTCCATGCCCTCTTCCAACAGATGTTTGGCAGAGGCACACTTCAAACCGTGTTTTCTGGATTCGCAGTTGAGCAAGGCAAACAATCAAGAGACAGACTGTGCTATACACAATTGAAAGCAGGACGCGCTTGTGGCTGCTTGTATGATGGCTGGATTGGTAGCAGATTCATTTTGGCAGTGACATTGGAACTTTGACGTTGTAACTTTGCGCAGCAAGGTTGTCACAGAGAGGGCAGGAAAAGCATGCTTGCTATATGCTGCACAGAAAGTGCCACTGAAGACCTTGGCACTAGAGCCATCAGCGAAGCACTTGTGGTTCTGCTTGGATTTCTGGATTGCAGTTGAGCAGATTCATTTTGGCAGGAATGATGGCATTGGTGACTTTGACAGTTGACGTAACTTTGCGCAGCTGTTTGGAGGTTGCATTTCACTTCACAGATTTCTTTGAGGGCAGGAAAAGCATGGCCACGCAGCGAACATACAGGGAGCTTGCTCCCAGATATGCTGCGGGGAAAGTCCCCGTGCCTTGGGGCAGAAAGTGCCACTGGGAGACCGGAAGACCTTGGCACTAGAGCCATCAGCGAAGCACAAGTGGAGTTGTGGTTCTGGTGTTTTGGTCCTTTGCAGCAGCAAAGTCATGCCGTGAGCGTTTGCAAGAACGCCAACCGAACGGGGCTCACTCTTTCCATGCCCTCTTCCAACAGATGTTTGGCAGAGGCACACTTCAAACCGTGTTTTCTGGATTCGCAGTTGAGCAAGCCAATAATCAAGAGACAGACTGTGCTATACACAATTGAAAGCAGGACGCGCTTGTGGCTGCTCGTATGATGGCTGGATTGGTAGCAGATTCATTTTGGCAGTGACATTGGAACTTTGACGTTGTAACTTTGCGCAGCTATTTGGAGGTTGGATTTCACTTCACAGATTTCTTTGAGGGCAGGAAAAGCATGGCCACGCAGCGAACACACAGGGAGCTTGCTCCCAGATATGCTGCGGGGAAAGTCCCCGTGCCTTGGGGCAGAAAGTGCCACTGGGAGACCGGAAGACCTTGGCACTAGAGCCATCAGCGAAGCACAAGTGGAGTTGTGGTTCTGGTGTTTTGGTCCTTTGCAGCAGCAAAGTCATGCCGTGAGCGTTTGCAAGAACGCCAACCGAACGGGGCTCACTCTTTCCATGCCCTCTTCCAACAGATGTTTGGCAGAGGCACACTTCAAACCGTGTTTTCTGGATTCGCAGTTGAGCAAGGCAAACAATCAAGAGACAGACTGTGCTATACACAATTGAAAGCAGGACGCGCTTGTGGCTGCTTGTATGATGGCTGGATTGGTAGCAGATTCATTTTGGCAATGACATTGGAACTTTGACGTTGTAACTTTGCGCAGCTATTTGGAGGTTGCATTTCACTTCACAGATTTCTTTGAGGGCAGGAAAAGCATGGCCACGCAGCGAACACACAGGGAGCTTGCTCCCAGATATGCTGCGGGGAAAGTCCCCGTGCCTTGGGGCAGAAAGTGCCACTGGGAGACCGGAAGACCTTGGCACTAGAGCCATCAGCGAAGCACAAGTGGAGTTGTGGTTCTGGTGTTTTGGTCCTTTGCAGCAGCAAAGTCATGCCGTGAGCGTTTGCAAGAACGTCAACCGAACGGGGCTCACTCTTTCCATGCCCTCTTCCAACAGATGTTTGGCAGAGGCACACTTCAAACCGTGTTTTCTGGATTCGCAGTTGAGCAAGCCAATAATCAAGAGACAGACTGTGCTATACACAATTGAAAGCAGGACGCGCTTGTGGCTGCTTGTATGATGGCTGGATTGGTAGCAGATTCATTTTGGCAATGACATTGGAACTTTGACGTTGTAACTTTGCGCAGCTGTTTGGAGGTTGCATTTCACTTCACAGATTTCTTTGAGGGCAGGAAAAGCATGGCCACGCAGCGAACACACAGGGAGCTTGCTCCCAGATATGCTGCGGGGAAAGTCCCCGTGCCTTGGGGCAGAAAGTGCCACTGGGAGACCGGAAGACCTTGGCACTAGAGCCATCAGCGAAGCACAAGTGGAGTTGTGGTTCTGGTGTTTTGGTCCTTTGCAGCAGCAAAGTCATGCCGTGAGCGTTTGCAAGAACGCCAACCGAACGGGGCTCACTCTTTCCATGCCCTCTTCCAACAGATGTTTGGCAGAGGCACACTTCAAACCGTGTTTTCTGGATTCGCAGTTGAGCAAAGCCAATAATAAAGAGACAGACTGCTATACACAATTGAAAGCAGGACGCGCTTGTGGCTGCTCGTATGATGGCTGGATTGGTAGCAGATTCATTTTGGCAGTGACATTGGAACTTTGACGTTGTAACTTTGCGCAGCTATTTGGAGGTTGCATTTCACTTCACAGATTTCTTTGAGGGCAGGAAAAGCATGGCCACGCAGCGAACACACAGGGAGCTTGCTCCCAGATATGCTGCGGGGAAAGTCCCCGTGCCTTGGGGCAGAAAGTGCCACTGGGAGACCGGAAGACCTTGGCACTAGAGCCATCAGCGAAGCACAAGTGGAGTTGTGGTTCTGGTGTTTTGGTCCTTTGCAGTAGCAAAGTCATGCCGTGAGCGTTTGCAAGAACGCCAACCGAACGGGGCTCACTCTTTCCATGCCCTCTTCCAACAGATGTTTGGCAGAGGCACACTTCAAAGCGTGTTTTCTGGATTCGCAGTTGAGCAAAGCCAATAATAAAGAGACAGACTGCTATACACAATTGAAAGCAGGACGCGCTTGTGGCTGCTCGTATGATGGCTGGATTGGTAGCAGATTCATTTTGGCAATGACATTGGAACTTTGACGTTATAACTTTGCGCAGCTGTTTGGAGGTTGCATTTCACTTCACAGATTTCTTTGAGGGCAGGAAAAGCATGGCCACGCAGCGAACATACAGGGAGCTTGCTCCCAGATATGCTGCGGGGAAAGTCCCCGTGCCTTGGGGCAGAAAGTGCCACTGGGAGACCGGAAGACCTTGGCACTAGAGCCATCAGCGAAGCACAAGTGGAGTTGTGGTTCTGGTGTTTTGGTCCTTTGCAGCAGCAAAGTCATGCCGTGAGCGTTTGCAAGAACGCCAACCGAACGGGGCTCACTCTTTCCATGCCCTCTTCCAGCAGATGTTTTGCAGAGGCACACTTGAAACCGTGTTTTCTGGATTCGCAGTTGAGCAAGCCAATAATCAAGAGACAGACTGTGCTATACACAATTGAAAGCAGGACGCGCTTGTGGCTGCTCGTATGATGGCTGGATTGGTAGCAGATTCATTTTGGCAGTGACATTGGAACTTTGACGTTGTAACTTTGCGCAGCTATTTGGAGGTTGGATTTCACTTCACAGATTTCTTTGAGGGCAGGAAAAGCATGGCCACGCAGCGAACACACAGGGAGCTTGCTCCCAGATATGCTGCGGGGAAAGTCCCCGTGCCTTGGGGCAGAAAGTGCCACTGGGAGACCGGAAGACCTTGGCACTAGAGCCATCAGCGAAGCACAAGTGGAGTTGTGGTTCTGGTGTTTTGGTCCTTTGCAGCAGCAAAGTCATGCCGCGAGCGTTTGCAAGAACGCCAACCGAACGGGGCTCACTCTTTCCATGCCCTCTTCCAACAGATGTTTGGCAGAGGCACACTTCAAACCGTGTTTTCTGGATTCGCAGTTGAGCAAGGCAAACAATCAAGAGACAGACTGTGCTATACACAATTGAAAGCAGGACGCGCTTGTGGCTGCTTGTATGATGGCTGGATTGGTAGCAGATTCATTTTGGCAATGACATTGGAACTTTGACGTTGTAACTTTGAGCAGCTAGTTGTTTGGAGGTTGCATTTCACTTCACAGATTTCTTTGAGGGCAGGAAAAGCATGGCCACGCAGCGAACACACAGGGAGCTTGCTCCCAGATATGCTGCGGGGAAAGTCCCCGTGCCTTGGGGCAGAAAGTGCCACTGGGAGACCGGAAGACCTTGGCACTAGAGCCATCAGCGAAGCACAAGTGGAGTTGTGGTTCTGGTGTTTTGGTCCTTTGCAGCAGCAAAGTCATGCCGTGAGCGTTTGCAAGAACGCCAACCGAACGGGGCTCACTCTTTCCATGCCCTCTTCCAACAGATGTTTGGCAGAGGCACACTTCAAACCGTGTTTTCTGGATTCGCAGTTGAGCAAGTCCAACAATCAAGAGACAGACTGTGCTATACACAATTGAAAGCAGGACGCGCTTGTGGCTGCTTGTATGATGGCTGGATTGGTAGCAGATTCATTTTGGCAATGACATTGGAACTTTGACGTTGTAACTTTGCGCAGCTGTTTGGAGGTTGCATTTCACTTCACAGATTTCTTTGAGGGCAGGAAAAGCATGGCCACGCAGCGAACACACAGGGAGCTTGCTCCCAGATATGCTGCGGGGAAAGTCCCCGTGCCTTGGGGCAGAAAGTGCCACTGGGAGACCGGAAGACCTTGGCACTAGAGCCATCAGCGAAGCACAAGTGGAGTTGTGGTTCTGGTGTTTTGGTCCTTTGCAGCAGCAAAGTCATGCCGTGAGCGTTTGCAAGAACGCCAACCGAACGGGGCTCACTCTTTCCATGCCCTCTTCCAACAGATGTTTGGCAGATGCACACTTGAAACCGTGTTTTCTGGATTCGCAGTTGAGCAAAGCCAATAATCAAGAGACAGACTGTGCTATACACAATTGAAAGCAGGACGCGCTTGTGGCTGCTCGTATGATGGCTGGATTGGTAGCAGATTCATTTTGGCAATGACATTGGAACTTTGACGTTGTAACTTTGCGCAGCTATTTGGAGGTTGCATTTCACTTCACAGATTTCTTTGAGGGCAGGAAAAGCATGGCCACGCAGCGAACATACAGGGAGCTTGCTCCCAGATATGCTGCGGGGAAAGTCCCCGTGCCTTGGGGCAGAAAGTGCCACTGGGAGACCGGAAGACCTTGGCACTAGAGCCATCAGCGAAGCACAAGTGGAGTTGGGGTTCTGGTGTTTTGGTCCTTTGCAGCAGCAAAGTCATGCCGTGAGCGTTTGCAAGAACGCCAACCGAACGGGGCTCACTCTTTCCAGCCTATTCAACAGATGTTCTGGGCAGAGGCACACTTCAAAAAAAACCGTGGCGGGGGTTTTCTGGCCTTCGCAGTTGCAGCAAAGGCAACAATCAAGGGAGCAGACTGTGCTATACAATGACACGCAGGACGAGCTTGTGGCTGATTGTTGTAGATGGTGATTGGTAGCAGATTCCATTTTGGCAATGACATTGAACTTTGACGTTGTAAATTTGCGAGCTAGTTGGTTTCGGAGGTTTGCATTTCCTTCACCGGATTTCTTGAGGGAGGAAAAGCATGGCCACGAAGCAGGAAAACACAGGGAGCTTGATCCCAGATATGCTGCGGGAAAGTCCCCGGGGCCTTGGGGAAGAACAGTGCCACTGGGAGACGAAGACCTTGGGCATCGCCGCCATTCCGCGAAGCCACCAAAGTTGGATTGTGTGTCTGGGGTTTTGGTACTTTGGAAGAGCAAAGTCATGCCGTGAGCGTTTGCAAGAACGCCAACCGAACGGGGCTCACTCTTTCCATGCCCTCTTCCAGCAGATGTTTGGCAGAGGCACACTTCAAACCGTGTTTTCTGGATTCGCAGTTGAGCAAAGCCAATAATAAAGAGACAGACTGCTATACACAATTGAAAGCAGGACGCGCTTGTGGCTGCTCGTATGATGGCTGGATTGGTAGCAGATTCATTTTGGCAGTGACATTGGAACTTTGACGTTGTAACTTTGCGCAGCTATTTGGAGGTTGGCATTTCACTTCACAGATTTCTTTGAGGGCAGGAAAAGCATGGCCACGCAGCGAACACACAGGGAGCTTGCTCCCAGATATGCTGCGGGGAAAGTCCCCGTGCCTTGGGGCAGAAAGTGCCACTGGGAGACCGGAAGACCTTGGCACTAGAGCCATCAGCGAAGCACAAGTGGAGTTGTGGTTCTGGTGTTTTGGTCCTTTGCAGCAGCAAAGTCATGCCGTGAGCGTTTGCAAGAACGCCAACCGAACGGGGCTCACTCTTTCCATGCCCTCTTCCAACAGATGTTTGGCAGAGGCACACTTCAAACCGTGTTTTCTGGATTCGCAGTTGAGCAAGGCCAATAATAAAGAGACAGACTGCTATACACAATTGAAAGCAGGACGCGCTTGTGGCTGCTCGTATGATGGCTGGATTGGTAGCAGATTCATTTTGGCAGTGACATTGGAACTTTGACGTTGTAACTTTGCGCAGCTATTTGGAGGTTGCATTTCACTTCACAGATTTCTTTGAGGGCAGGAAAAGCATGGCCACGCAGCGAACACACAGGGAGCTTGCTCCCAGATATGCGGCGGGGAAAGTCCTCGTGCCTTGGGGCAGAAAGTGCCACTGGGAGACCGGAAGACCTTGGCACTAGAGCCATCAGCGAAGCACAAGTGGAGTTGTGGTTCTGGTGTTTTGGTCCTTTGCAGCAGCAAAGTCATGCCGTGAGCGTTTGCAAGAACGCCAACCGAACGGGGCTCACTCTTTCCATGCCCTCTTCCAACAGATGTTTTGCAGAGGCACACTTCAAACCGTGTTTTCTGGGTTGAGCAAGGCAAACAATCAAGAGACTGATCCGGGCTGGTGCCCTTTGTAGCTGTACTGCCTGCTGAGTGCTTTGACGCCTGGGGGAGTTGGTGAAAGAAAAGAATCGCAGGGCTGGAAGGTGGTCACAAACCTGGAGCCATATCCCAATCTGGGATCATGTCACAGTAACTTTTCCTATCACACACCATCCATCATCCTCTACCATCGTTCATATTCCTTTAACTTCGTCTGTCACTGTCCATCATCATCAACAGCGACGACAAGAGATAGTTCGGAGCTAGGGGAATTCCCTACTAAATGGGGAGCCAGTTGGATCTATGTCTAGGGTTCCCAACCACATGACAGTTAACATTGTTAACTAGGGCAGAATCACCAAACATTGGCTGAACATGAGCTGACTATGATTCCCCCTGGTGCTCCCAAGACGTTTGACCCGCTGCTCACAGGTCGCAAGCTTCCCAGTGGCGCCCACAACGCACAGCAAGAGGAGGGCGATGGCACTGTTGCAGATCCTGAGGAGCGGTGATTTGCATGACCAATGGGATGTGCAAGCAACAGGAATAAGGATTTGATGGGTATTTTCATGTTTAATGTCTCATTTGGGGCTCAAACTTCCTGAAATATGGGATTAATGGTGTGGTTAATATGTAGTGGATGATGGAATTAATGATGGAATTAATGATGGGATTGATATTATGGGTAATATGGGGCTAATGATGGGGTTGATATGGGGTTAATGGTGGGATTGCTGATTGGGTTAGGCTTGACATGGAGGTTTCCCAAAATCCCGAAATCATTCAAGTTGTTGGTCACTTTCAATGGGGAAGCTATGCAATGGTTGGATCGCCCAGTTTAGGAGATCTCCAAATGATGGGTTGATGATGATGGATGAAGATCCATTGCAAGTTGAACCCATACTCTCTTGTTTGAACCTCTTGGCCATCTTTAGCCTAGCAACTGGCAGGCAGAGATTGCGCAGAGCAGCAGCGGCATTTTCACGCTTGCACCTGCCACAAAGAACGACTTGTTACTTGCAAAGCACGTTAGCTGGGCAGACAGGACAAGTGATGGTAGTGTCATTTTCCCTCAATCCCGAAGTCCAATATTTGTCCAAAGCAATGTTTGGACTGCAACCAACGATTGATGGAAGGGGTTTGAAGCCAAAACGGCGTACGGAGTCTGCATTCCCGCACTCAAATCCTTAAGATCGTTGCCCAGTTGTTTATTAGATGTGCTGTCTTTCTAATGCAAACGAGGCTCATGACAGTCACGACGACCATGATTCAATCTGCTTGAACTTGAATCCCACTTACACCACTATATTTTATCCCCCCATGGCAGCAATCTCCACAGTTGGCCGAGGTTGGAGACATTGTTCACCCGCTTCCTGGACAAGAGCGTCTGGGTCCGCTATCGAGTGCTGCAGACTTTGAACAATTTGGCCTCCAACAACGGGCTGCCGAGGCTGGACAGTGCTGGCAGCTGAGGTGAGAGGATATGACGGGAACATGACATCCCCAAACCACCAATTCTTTGTATTTTATCAACGGAGCCATAGTTGATTGTCAGGTGTTGGGTCATACCACGACAGTGGAATCTATACCACGACAAGATATTAAAAACCACGACAAGAGGGTAGCACGAGTAGCGCATACCTTGTTCAATTGACGATTTGTTCAAAAACATGCCACTAATCAAACCAAACATGCCACTAATCAAACCAAACATGCCACTAATCAAACCAATCCCCCAAATCCGATAAAAATCCATAAGCAATCCGTAAGCCTTCTCCCCCAAATCCGGTAAAACTCCGTAAACAATCCGTAAGCCTCCTCGCCCCAATACGTATTTTATTATATTATTAGTGGATGATGGCAACTTGAAAAAGATCAAGAGTCTTCCATGATGCCCTGGGTGAATACTTGGGGGTACAATTCGTGTTATACATTGGTATGCATAACCATGGTTCGAAACTGAAATCTAGTCGAAGGAAGTTAGGAAGCAATACTTCCGGGTTACGGCCAAATATAATTGTGAAACTTGACATTGATGAAGGGCGGTACATCACATAACAAGACATAACAAGAGAATAAGAAGCCATGACACAGGGTGGTGACGAAGGGAAGTGGTGACGTTGGCCTACGGATTTCTTACGGATTCTTGCCAGAGCAGCTACGGATTTCCAAGGGCTTTTTTGCTTTGTGGCTGACGGATTTTGTACGGATTTCTGGTGCATTTGGGGGAGGAGGCTTACGGATTGTTTACGGATTTTTACCGGATTTTGGGGATGAGGCTTCCGGATTGTTTACGGATTTTTACCGGATTTGGGGGGAGGAGGCTTACGGATTGTGTACGGATGCTTGCCGGATTTGGAGGAGGAGGCCTACGGATTGTGTACGGATGTTTACCGGATTTGGGGGAGGAGGCTTACGGATTGTTTACGGATTTTGACCGGATTTGGGGGAGGAGGCTTACGGATTGTTTACGGATTTTTACCGGATGTAAAGGAGGAGGCTTACGGATGGCTTACGGATTTTTACCGGATTTGGGGGGGGACGTTTACGGATTTCTTACGGATTTTTTTTACCGGATGTAGAGGACGAGTCGTACGGATTTTTACCGGATTTTTACCGGATTTTTACCGGATTTGGGGGAGGAGGCTTCCGGATTGTGTACGGTTTTTTGCCGGATTTGGTGGAGGAGGCTTATGGATTGTTTACGAATTTTGACTGGATTTGGGGGAGGAGGCGTACGGATTGTTTACGGATTTTGACCGGATGTAAAGGAGGAGGCTTACGGATGGCTTACGGATTTTTACCGGATTTGGGGGAGGAGGCTTACGGATTGCTTACGGATTTTTACCGGATGTAGAGGACGAGTCTTACGGAGTGTGTACGGATTTTTACCGGATTTGGGGGAGGAGGCTTCCGGAATGTGTACGGTTTTTTACCGGATTTGGGGGGTGGAGGCTTACGGATTGTTTACGGATTTTTACCGGATTTTGGGGCGGAGGCGTACGGATTGTTTGCGGAGTTTTACCGGATGTGGAGGAGGAGGTTTACGGATTGTTGATGGTTTACGGATTTTTACCGGATTTGGGAGAGGAGGCTTACGGATTGTTTGCGGATCTTTACCGGATGTAAAGGAGGAGGCTTACGGATTGTTTACGGATTTTTACCGGATGACGGATTGTTATACCGATGGTAGAGGACGAGGCTTACGGATTGAGTACGGATTTTTACCGGATGTCGGGGGAGGAGGCTTACGGATTGCTTACGGATTTTTAGCGGATTTGGGGGAGGAGGCGTACGGATTGTTTACGAATTTTTTACCAGATTTGTGGAAGGAGGCTTACGGATTGTTTACGGATTTTTACCGGATTTGGGCGAGGAAGGTTACGGATTGTTTACGGAGTTTTACCGGATTTGGGGGAGAAGGCGTACGGATTGTTTACGGTTTTTTACCGGATTTGGGGGAGGAGGCTTACGGATTGTTTACGGATTTTTGCCGGATTTGGTGGAGGAGGCTTACGAATTGTTTACGGTTTTTTACCGGATTTGGCGGAAGAGGCTTGCGGATTGTTTATGGATTTCGATCGGTTTTGGAGGAGAAGGCTTACGGATTGTTTACGGATTTTTACCGGATGTGGAGGACGAGGCTTGCGGATTGTTTACGGATGTTTACCGGATGTAGAGGACGAGGCTTACGGATTGTTTACGGTTTTTTACCGGATTTGGGGGTTGAGGCTTACTGATTGCTTAGGAATTTTTATCGGGTTTGGTGGGGGAGGCTTACGGATTGTGTACGGTTTTTTGCCGGATTTGGTGGAGGAGGCTTACGGATTGTTTACGGATTTTTACCGGATTTTGGGGGAGGAGGCGTACGGATTGTTTACGGATTTTTACCGGATGTAAAGGAGGAGGCTTACGGATTTCTACCGGATTTGGGGGAGGAGGCTTACGGATTGCTTATGGATTTTTATCGGATTTGGTGGAGGAGGTTTACGGATTGTTTACGGATTTTTTACCGGATTTGGGCAGGAGGCTTACGGATTGCTTACGGATTTTTACCGGATTTGTAGGAGGACGCTTACCCATTGTTTACGGATTTTTACCGGATTTGGAGGAGGAGGCTTACGGATTGCTTACGGATTTTTACCGGATGTAGAGGACAAGCCTTATGGATTGTTTACAGATTTTGACCGGATGTAGAGGACGAATCTTACGGATTGTTTGGTAGCTGATGAGATGGATGAGGCTTTCGGATTGCTTACGGATTTTTACCGGATTTGGAGGGAGATGGGGAGGAGGCTTACGGATTGCTTCTGGATTTTTACCGGATTTGGTCGAGGAGGCTTACGGATTGTTTACGGATTTTTACCGGATTTGGGGGAGGAGGCTTGCGGATTGTGTGCGGATGTTTACAGGATTTGGGGGGAGGAGGCTCATGGATTTTTACCGGAATTGCATGGAGGAGGAGGCTTACGGATTGTGTACGGATGTTTACCGGATTTGGGGGAGGAGGCTTACGGATTGTTTACGGTTTTTTGACCGGATTTGGGGGAGGAGGCTTACGGATTGTTTACGGATTTTGACCGAATGTAAAGGAGGAGGCTTACAGATTGTTTACGGATTTTTACCGGATTTGGGGGAGCAGGCTTACGGATTGCTTACGGATTTTGACCGGATGTAAAGGAGGAGGCTTACGGATGGTTTACGGATTTTTACCGGATTGGGGGGAGGAGGCTTACGGATTGTTTACGGATTTTTACCGGATGTAGAGGACGAGGCTTACGGAATGTTTACGGATTTGTACCGGATTTGGGGGAGGAGGCTTGCGGATTGTTTTTAGATTTGGACCGGATTTGGGGGAGAAGGCTTCTGGATTGTGCTTTCTGGCTGACGGATTTTGTACGGATTTCTGCCGGTCAGCTTACGGACTCCTGGGGTTGAAAAGAGTTTTGGTCGGCGCAGGTGAAGAAAATCATCCACCGGAAGAAGATGTGAAAAAAAGGCGGTTCTAACAAGTAAGCATTCATTATGCTACCAAAGCTTGAGCAGTGCCATATAATACATTTAGGGTATGGTAAACCAAAAAAACCAAACAACACAAACTACTATGAGAATATATTATTACAAATATATATATATATATATATCATACTATATATGTATATTTACCAATTTATAAAAAATCACCAAAACCACATCACGTGAAAACACTGCTGACTACCGCAGACGAGTCTGAAGTTGCGCATTGTTTTCCATTGCCAGTTGTGATGGATCTGTTTGCCATCAGTGATTGAATCCTGCTTGATGGTTACGTTTCACCCATCAATTAGCCAGCTGACCATTTTGGTCAAGTAGAAACCAACCCTAGGGGTTGAGAAAAGCCGAACGAACGCTTGTCTGAGAAACAGAGTGGTCGCAAAATCGAAAATACAAACAGAAGCAGAAGCAATGTATGGATATAAATGTTGAATGCGAAAAGAAAAGGTTCATTGTCATTCTCAGGACATCAGCATGGAGTGAAAACAGCAAAAACATGCTGTAAACTCCCGGACTGAGTGTTCCAATGTAATGAAGCATTTCATTGATTAAAACACAATGAAACCAGTTCATTAAGAGTGTGATTGCTGGCAACGCAGACAGTCGATGGTGTGTTTGCCGGTCGTGGTTAAATCTTTGGTCCTTGTCGTGGCTCGCAGCCGGGTTTTGTCGTGGTTTGGAAACCTAGTTTTAGTCGTGGTGAAAACGTACTCTCATGGTTGATTGTCCAAATGGGGATAACACTCTATTGCTGAAGTTAGCGTCACCCTCCCCTGCCTAAACATTGGTGACTGGTTCTTGAATTGAGTCCTTTCCACAATTTCGATGCAGGAATATTTCACACCCAGCTATCAAGATAGCTTCAATTGCAGCGTCAGTCTAAGATTAACCGCATGATGTTTGGTTCATCTCCCCAAGTTTTTTTTGGTTGGCTATAAGCGGCTATACCACTTATATGACTTAGATAATTTATATGACTTATGGCATCCCCACTGGATGGGGCCGATCCACGGTCGCCAGGGAGCTCTGGCCGAGGGTCCTGGACTTGGCGATCCGACGCATGCAGGACACGGCCAGCATGTCCAGGACACTGCCGGGCGTGGGAAACCGGATGTGAACCAAGAAACTGTATGTTGGTGTGGAAAGTTTAAGAATCTTAAGACTAAGAATGATCCTTGACATCCAGTTTTTCGAGTTGACAGTGCCCCATATTATTTGTTGGCCCATGCCAGCTTGGAACCTTGTTTCTGAAAGTTGGAAGGTTTCAGGACGCCAGCTAGTTTGTGTAAGGGGCCCTAGCCCCCTGAACATCTTTCAACGTTCATCCATGACCAGAATCTTACTTCCCGAACAAAATGTGGTTGTGGTTCAAAACGGCTTTGCCCAACCTCCAGAGTTTAGACCAGCCAAAAACAGGGGCAATCCATTCCCCACAGCCATGTGGCTTCCCCAAATCCTCCAGCAGCACGAGGAAGGCGGCCATGCAGCTGGTGCGCAAGCTGGTGGAGTTCCATCCCTATGGTCCTGCGCTGAAAGGCTCCGGGGATGAACGTGCCAAGGCCACCAAGTTACTGAATGAGATCCAGGACCGGTGGTTTGGGATGGGCAGGGCGGGTGGTTGGAGGGGTGGAACATGCGGGAGTTGGAAGGGGTGAAGAGAGGAAGGTGGTCAGAAACACATGTGTGAAGGAAGGAGAAGGAAGGAGGACTCTTGTGCCATGGCTTCAAGAATTTCTTTGTACCCATGTGACTTTCAGGGTCGGTGGAAGTTATTCTCCATTTGTTTGGGTCTACGCCCCTCGGAGTGTTGAGAACGTGAATGAACTTTTGTCTTACGAAAAGTGCAGCAGATCCATCTCATTCCCACCTCGCTGTTCCAGCAGCCTTTTTTATACCTCAACATCTTGTGCTGCCACCTCAGCGACCTGGTCGTCATGTCGTCCGTAGTAGAGTTGCCGAACTTGGATGATCTCAACAGTGAGCAATGGGAGAAGCTGGCAAAGCAAGCTGCGATAATGCAGCAACTTGGCCTCAATTAAAAAAAATTGGAAAGTTACAAGTGTAAGTGAGATTTTATGCTTGCCATCTAGCGCTGGGATCCCAGAACACAAACCAAAGACTGGACATTGGAACTCAGCCAGCAGAAGCTCTTGCCGCCCAGGCAGCAGGCAGCTCTCAAAGAGAAGAGGGCTTCAAAGCTCGACCAAGCCATGTGCGAGGCCTCTTCGCGGGCACCTTCTGCGAAAGCCATAGATGTGTGCTTCGTCATGGACTGCACCCCTTCAATGCGACAAGTCATTAAAGCAGCAAAGAAAAAGGTCGGTGAGATCCAACGTCGCATTTGCAGCATGTTGGGTCACGGAGGCAATGTCCGTTTTGCGATTGTTGCTTACAGGGATCACCAGTACCGCAGGCCGATAGAAATCTTGCCTTTCTCGACTCTTGGCTGCGCCCTTCCACTTTGTCTTTTGGAAGTGGGTATGAGTTGTACTGTGCCACGTATTGACTACCCTTAGCTTCCATGGAAATGGGCGCTGATTCCCAGTAGATTTGCAGCGAAACTTGTTGTGATTTTCAAGTCTAATTAGCTGAGAACAACGGGAAGTGAAGCCATATCAGAGACTGTTTGGAAGAGTATTAAGCTCTGGGGTCTTATTGGAGAGCCGCAGCACTCGAGGAATGATCTGACGGAAGTCAGCTCGTTCTTATCTGCTCTTGAAGCCAGCGACGAAGCCAAAGCAGGGGCCAAATCGGGTGATATTTGCGAAGATGTGATTGGGGGGCTCAATGCGGCAACAAAGCTCCAGTGGCAGGTGAAAACACGTATTCTTTACCTTCTTTGTGATGCCCCACCTCATGGCAAGCGATTTGCAAATCATGCTGCCATGGAAAAAGTTCAACGGTGGCTGCCACTGTGGCTTGTTTGAAACTATCTAATTGATTTCATGTCCCGGATCCCCGACTCACTGATGGTAGGAGGCAAATAGAGGCATGTTGCACGGCATGTTCAACGTTTCTCACCGTTTTTTTGAAGGAACTTCGACCTGAGCCCAGATGATGCGGCTCAGTGGGGGTTGACGGACAGTATGATGGCAACAACAATCGACCTCCAGCTGAATTTGCTGGTGTTGAAATACTCAACAGTGGCGCATTCATTGTGTGACAAGATGTTTGACGTTTTTGCCGAATCTCAGATTCCAATAATGTGGGCCTTTTTGTCAACTTTCAGATTATTTTAGATTGGAAGATGTCCCTGGCCAACATTCATTTGCACCGCTTTTTACTTTCGTCTCTGCAAACCAGGAACTGCGCAAAGATCATCCCCACCCTTCAAAGCCGCTGCAAACGCTGGCCTTCCAGCCGCAGTCTTCAGCAGATGACCTCGTCAGCTGTATCCTCAAGGGCACCAGGGAAACGTTGTCATTGTCACGTGGCAGTGCAGCGAGGTCATCTGGACGAGACCCTGATGGTGGGAGTCTGACTTTCAGTGTGCAGCTTGGATGAAGTTGTTGGGGAATTCAAGTGGTTACTCAAAAATGCGTAGTTCACCCTGATACTTGGAAATCATGTGGCCCGTCAGTTCAGGAAGGTGGCGATTTTCTGGACAGATCGAAATTGTCTGCTTTGGAAGTCTTGGCCTCTCCATGACGCCTTTGTGACTCACTTGCGAGTTGTTGGGCTGACCTCAGATCCGCAGCGCAACACGGTGGTTCGAAAGTTGCACATTCGACCAGAACCATTTGCGGAAGGTGCCATGAGGTATGCGTTTCCTGCCACCACTGAGGATGGCAAGCGCTTTGTTCTGAAGGCCAAATTTTATTCCTGCAGTATGTTTTAATATACACAAAGATTAAGACATTTACATGCAGTTTGGATGTAGCAAGAACAGAACTTCTGCACGAGCTTCTGCGCAATGACAGTTGCTGGGAATATTGTTCCTCGACCCCTGCATAGGTGCACAAGGTTGGAGTGCAAGCTGAGAAAGAGTGCTTGGTAGATGTTCAGACACAAGCTTATGCCAAGTTCTTTGGAGAAGCTTTTGCTCAGCGTTTTCCAGATGCGCCAATCCAGTTCTTGGAGAGCTGGCAAGTGGAATTGCTCGGATGTCCCATCGGCCGACATGCCACCTTGGAGCCGTTTCTTGAGGGGAAGTACCAGAAGTACACCAACAACTCTGGGTTCATTGCTGAGGGAGCAAAACTGGCAGAGGCATTCTCGCACTTTACGTTTTGTCACTCAGGCCAGCATTATCACCAAGCAAACGCGCACACACACACAGATGACTAGTTTATAGTGGTTGATGACATTTGCCACGGCCCATCCTTGTCGTGTTGACATCCTGTTGCTGCTGACCACCTGTTTCCTTTTTGCAGGTGGGCAGATGATGGTCACTGACCTGCAGGGCTTTGAGTCCTCCATCCTCACAGATCCTCAGATCCACTGCGTCAACAAAGATCTGTTCGGGCGAGGAAATCTCGGAAAGGATGGTATGGATCAGTGCTTTTTGGGGCACACCTGCAATGAGATTTGTGCCGCTTTGAAGCTGAAACCACACCCAATGCAACTGGCTCTCGACGAAGAGAAGACATCTGTTGAGGCAGGGAGTTCAGCAAGTTCTACACCGTCTTCCACCCACGGCTCCCAGATCTGCGAGTTGTGCGGCGCTTTATTCAAGTTGCGACAGCAAGAGTACCTGGATACAATCAACAAGTATCAGGTCGGGTGAGACAAGGAGGGTTGGTTGACTCAGGATGCTTTCGTATTTATTTGTTGGACCAATTGTAACTTCACAGCAGGGAGGACATGTAGCAGATCATTTTTCATCCCAGACAGATATCTTGATAGGACAGGTGGTCGTATGTGAGTCTGACTGGGGTGACCCGTGCCACTGCGGCCTTGCCAGGCAGTGCTGTGCGCTGAATGTGGTGCTAAAGTTGATGCAAACAACCTCAGCGTACCCTGCGGATCTTGCAGCAAAGAGGTCTACTTCTCACCTTATGCCATTGCCATCAAGGGCTGCGCGAAGCCAGAGAAATGCCGAGATTGTGAGCTCTCAGAAGAGTGGATGTTCGTGGACGACTGAGCGGCTTATTTCGATTCTCCTGGGCCCCAGATGATTAGTGGTTTGGAAAGACACATTTGTCAAGAGTCATCCGTTGTCCCGGTTGGGGAATCGTCCACCCCAGGGTGGTTCATCTTCCATGGTGCTATAAGTTTGGTTCAAGCTTTAGTCTGTGGCAGCAACAGATTGCCACTTGTTCGAACTGAGCAGCGGAAAGAAAACTTAGGTACCATGTCGTAGGGTTGGTTGTACAAGGAGCCTGCGAGGATTCATCGTCCAGATTTTCACCAGTTTTTGTGACAGCATTACATTCTGCTGCCCATCACCAGTTCCAGGCTTCAAGTCCTGCCACAGTCTTATTCGGGCAAGAAACTGTTGTTTGGCCGAATTCGCTTTATTCGTACAGATGGCGCCATTAACTTGCTGCCGCGAAGACGGTAGCGAGACTTGATTCTTGTTTAAGTTACAGCAAAGGTTTGCAAGCACGGAACGGATGTAGATAGCCAACCAATATTGTTTTGGTCCAGATGCCATCCAGTCAAGCGTGGCAATTTCCCAGGGCACTTCCAAGTGAACGCCAACTTTGCAACATGGAAGCTCTTTTCCCCTTCTTGGTGGGCCAATTGAAGTTGTTTCGCACAAGTCTTTCAAACATCCCACAGTTTATGAATTTGGATTGCCCCGGCTTCTGGCAAGAGTCTTGCTTGAGAGTCTGATTTGATGCAGCAACATCAGACTCTTCATGGCAGAACAGCAGATGAACAACAGATGAACAGCCTGCATCAGCCCGCGGGCGTTTATCAGCACGTGGTTTGCGGCCGCTGTGCCCACAGATGTGACAGGTAGAGGATTTGCAGAAAAACATGAAAAACACCGGCAGCAAGTCCATCGCGAGTCCTGACGTCTCAGCATCTCTAGATGTTGACATGGACTTCCGAACGGCCCCGTTCGGAATTGCTTCCACCCATCCCAATTTTACATTTACGGATTCCATTTTCCATATCATAGTTCTACAGTTATACAGTTATACATATTCCATCATATTTTCCACCCATTCTTCTTGCAGACCACAACCCCTCAACATCCATCGGGTTCCCACCAGGAGCGCGTGAAGAAGTTGAAGGCCGAAGAGTTGGCCGAGCTCGAGGGCACTGACGCCGCCGACGCCGACGCCGAGGGCGCGACGGAGCCGCCGGAGAAGCGACAGAAGCGCTGCAAGGGGAAGACGGAGACGCTGCTTGCGGGGGCAAGGGTTGGAAAGGATGGGGAGATCTGGTTTGTTGATGTTTTTTTAAAAATAGGTTTGAAGAATTGGCAAGACTTCAGACTTCATGTTTTGGAGGTACCAAAATGTTATCCTTGGGGCAGGTTTGGGGGAATGCTGGGGATTGTTTCGACTGAACTTGCAGTAAAACCATGTAAAATCCACTTAGAACATCAAATGGCCATCAACTTTTGGGGGATTGGATCCCAAAAGATGTTTGAAGTTGGTGAACCCCAATTTCAATCTTTCCCCGTTACTTTACTGATGTATCCCCAACAACACAGCCAGGAGACCGACGTGAGCATCGCCCGTGAAGTCGACAAAGACCTCGAGGCCAACGGCGAGGCCGCCGAGGACGCCGGCGAGTCGGCCTCGGCGCGGCACGCGGCGCGGGAGAAGCAGCGGGAGGCGGGGCGATCAACGGGATCAAAGGTGGATGGCGATGGGGATTCTACACCATATTCGCAGTTGATGTGTATATGGAGGGGAAATTATTCTACACCCATATTCTACACCATATATTTGGAGGGGATTGATATGTTATATGAATATTATGTGTATGTAATTGTATGTATATAATTATATATATATAATTGCAAAAAGGGAAAAAAAAACAAAGAAATAATCATGCCAAGTATCATTCTTAGTATACGTTTGCATCATTTTTATATGTTGTATATGTATAGACGCACAATTGATATGGACTGGTATTCCATGGAATTCCTTTAGCCAGATCGACCTGTCCAAGTCACCAATGTTCCTCCCCCTTTTGACCAATTTTCATTTACCATCTGGTTATTTAACATAGCCATGGAAAATGGCCCATTTATAGATGGTTTACCCATTAAAAATTGTGATTTTCCATGGCTATGTTAAATAACCAGATGGTACATCATACTTGAAAGTAGACCATCATTACAGGATGGCTGCGGGGTACCCTTTCATTTTGGCTCAATCCACCGATTTTCAGCCTTCTTTCTCATTGTCCATTCCAACCCAAAAAATTGTCACCATTTTTAAATCCCTATCACTTTAGTACCGCCCAAAACGATAGAACAGTTAAATCCCACTAAAATAGTATAAAATAGTGATAAGTTGAACCTATCTTTTTTGAGATTCCTATAATCAACAATTTGTAGGGTTTTATTGGTGACTCCGTGACTCCCTGGCAGGCCCTACAGCGTATGCAGCAGTGCTACACTCAGCGTGTGCACTTTGTGGAGCTCTTGGATGCCGCTGAGGCGTGCCGAAGTGCCGAAGTGCTGTGGTGATCCGTGTGGGATACCTCCAAATCACCAATTTTAATAGGACAAGTGGGTTGTTTTAGTAGGAAACAATGGGAAAAACATTGATGATAAACCATAGGATTTTGGGGTACCCCTATTTTCAGACCCTGAGTTATGGAAGGAGGCTCGCGAGTTGAGATGGGATACCAGTGGTACCGCCACGAACGGCATGCGCAGGACCTCAACCTGTTTTAAGGCATGGTTTCACCCCAAAGAAGTTTGGGGAACCTCCTGGATGATATTAACATATTATGCTCCTCTCAAAGGCTATACAAGAGTTGGAATCTCCCGAATAAGCCACCTAATGAATTGGGAACTCCCATAAAAACCAGCCCATGAAAAGCGGGGTCCATTTCTTCACCATGTCTGAAATATTCTAAAACTGGATAAGGTCGACAAGCTTTCAGAACATCCCCAGTGACCCTTGGGATTTCGCCGCCAGCATTCTCCTCTGCCAAAAACCAATGGAAAACCTTATCACGGAATGTCAAATTCATCCCCGAAATCCCTATGGTTCACCATGCTTCACCCCATGATGTTCCGCCAAATCGCCTGGTGCATCCGCGTGAGGCGCGTCTGCGCGGCTTGTTGAGCTCCAAGACGGCCACAGACGTCACGGAGGCCATCAGCGTGGTGGTGGAGCTACGTCTGCGAGGTGTGGGAACTGTGGCAGGTTGGGCTTGGAACGATGATTTCTTGATGTCTACCCGCTGGTAATTTAACGGTTTGCTATTGAAAATGGCCATTTATAGTGGATTTCTGGTTATGTCAAAATAGCTATTGAAGCCATGGCCATAGAAATAGTGGATTTACCCATTGAAAATGGTGATTTTCCATAGCTTTTTGTATGTTTACCAGAGGGTATATGAGTGTATCTCCATTAATATACTCTATATGTCTATATCATTCTATATCCATTCAAGTGTGACAAGAAACATCAATAAAACATCTAGAATCATCTAGACTCCAGACTTCACATACAGGTAATCTTTTTTGTTGACTTTGCCACTTAAGATCGAAGGTTGGCCCATCCAACGGCCCGAGCTGTGAAATCCACTAGGCGTACCTGCAGCCGCCAGAGCCTTTCACCAAGTCTTGGGCTTGGTCTGGAGCCGCCATGGCCCCATCAAGGCGGGACTTTCATCACTGGGGGAGGACCATCCCAGCAGTTGCCATGGTGACCACGCTGACCGATGATTCACAAAAAATAGCAGATCAGTATGCACTCACGAGATACTACCAAAAACCTCTACTTTTTTTTCCCGGAAATCGTCAAAAATGTTCCCAAAAATGGTTCCTTAGAATGATTAGAATGGTTGCAATGTGTTGCAATGTGTTGCAACGTGTTGCAACTTCATTCACCCAACTTTTTCCAAAACCCATGGTCCCCACCCACAGGATGCCGCCGTGGATGCCTTCTACCGGATGCACCTCGAAGGTCGCGACACTGCCTCGGCCGCCGAAGCAGTGTTGCAGATCTACAAGGAACCAGAGACGTTGATGGGGTGCGATTGATGGCCCAGGTAACTGGTTCATAAATGGGTATGGATCAATACCTATTAATACCATTTTTAGGGGGATGAACATCCATAAATCCCAGCTATTTTGATGTGAACTACAGGGGTACAAGGTTTTGACACACTGCCAAATGTTCATGGAAGGAGGCTATGTGTGATTCTGAACTGTGGCATTTGTTGTGTGAATAGAGGAATGCTTTTACGACAATCACTCTGGTAGATACCCCTACCAGTGAAACATGGTGAAGAAAAATCAGTGATACCAGGGCAGCCTGTCATCTTGCAGGATGGCTTCAGCTCGGGTGAGACCACCCACACACACCTGGCCAGCGTGCAGGACCATGGTGTCACCATTGGCCAAATTGGCATGACATATTTCACTTTACCTACAGGGAAATATAGGGAAACTATTGGTTGATGTATAAATAATCCTTTGGATGATCACTGGAGTTTACTTTTGGATGCGCAGAAGGAGTGTAATTTGCTTCTGTTCTATGGTAAAAGAGTGCTGATAGACGGTTTTTCTTTTTCTTGTGGAAGGGCAGATATTCTTCTGGGATGATACAGACCTAAAATTGCTTATTGGTTTAATTCTGATTTTTATCCCTTTATCCCCTCAGTATTGCTGACTAAAATACGTCACTTTACTGTAGCTTGTCTCACAATTACGAGTTGGTGAATGCAGGCCATACACAACTTGGTTGGTTGTTGGACCACCCTCATTGTTGCAGGTGATATCTCCAGTTGTAGCATTCATCCAGGTGACTAGTGCCAGGAGCAGAAGCAACCCACCTTTCAGCGCTGAATCATCTCATTTCGGGCTTCCACATTCCATTTTTGCATGGTGGACTTCTGTCCAGACGTGTTGACACAATCCCAACCTTCAGCAGATTTCTTGCAGGCATCATGTTTGTAGTTGGTGAGTCATCCTTGGTGAGTCATCCTTCTACCACTACCATCTGGAGGTTTCCTGAGTCATGGGGGTACCCCCAAATCATCCAAGTCATGAGACTACTTGAGTATTGAAACAACCATGGTGACTTGGGGATCTTCCATGACTTTAACCTCTATTAGCAACTCCCCAAATGGTGCAGACTGGATCTGGGCTCAAGGAGCTGATTCAGCAAGCTGCTGAAAAGGAGTTAATCGTGGCTGCCGAGGCGGGCGTTTTTTTTTTTTTCTGCAGCGACGGTTGGTGATTCAAGGGATAGCGGTGGGGGTCGTTACTGATGTTGGGAAATGACGAATCATTGGTAGGAGAGTAGTTGTTGATGATAATTTCCCACATTGGATCATCACTGGATCAATCAACTTCAGTTCAATGAATCCCTACATTTTTAACGTTAAGCTTCTCACATGTTGGTGGCCGCAATCCTAACTGGGTGTTTTCCTTGAGTTGGAATATATCCACACTTTTTTTTGCTCAAATCCCACATACGCCCAAAACAGCCGACAGTTTCACAGATTCTGTTGTCCTACAGCTTTTTCAGGATACATTCTCCCCACACCTCTCTTCATGGCCAAACTTCTCAATCATTTCCCAATAATGTCCCAAAGATTTCCCACTACTTTCAATTTTCCCCAGAATTTCCCAATCATTTGTGACATTTCCCAATTATTGGTGACATCCCCAGCATTTCACCCATGTTTTGTTCCACCCCACCGGGGCCAGCCAACGGTTGCCCGTTGGCGCAGGTCATCCCCAAGATGGTCAGCGCGCTGGGCGACGGCCGCGCCACTGGGGCGCTGCGGGCCTTGACTGCGCTGAGTGCCACGGGGCACGATGCGCTGGCGAAGAATGCGCTGCCAAAGGTGCAGGAGTTCATCTGCAGGTGGGGGCTTCTTGTCTCTACTCGTATGTTGGCATTTGTGGTTATATTATATACGTATATAACATATATATATATGTAATATGATTATAGTTATATATAATATGTATTTAATTATAGTTATATATAATTATACGCATTATATATATATAGTACAGTATTATATAGTTGTAGGTATATATATATATGTATATATATAAATAAAGCATTCTGCATGGTTCTATATCTACTATCATCTACTATCTAGATTTATCATGTCACATCATTTGCACGGGCTGAGACTTGAACCTTATCTTGGGGACATGGCCATTGGATAAGCGGAAAATATCACTGTGTGATGATGGCCATTGGATCGGCACATATTCTGACAGTGTATATATTGTGATCACATATATCGCTATTTTGATTGCTACATCACCCAATGATGACAGTGTGTTTGGCCGCACATCTTCATAAATATTCTGAATATATGTGATCAACAGATGATATACCCAAGATACCCTGAAGGTTTCCGGATGGCAGTGGTTATACCCGTAGTAATCCCATCTCCCAATATTAAGTTACCTAAGCAGAATATCTCGGGGGACTATCTAATATTATTTTGGGCGAACATCTCCATTCCAGGAGGCTTCAACCATATTAAACTTTAAACCCATCATTTTTCCATGGTGGAACCAGCATTTTTGAGGGCTTCAACCACCATTTTGGATGCTTAAAACTCCCATAGGTTGCCAACTGCTGCAGGTCCGTCTCCTCCCCAGCAGAGCAGCTGGAGCATGCGCGGCTCGTGGCTCAGCTGCTGCTGCGCTTTTTGGGCAGCGCCAAAGGTGCGGTGAACGATGCCGCGGTCAGCAGATTATGCGCTGTGTCCCTTGGAAAATGGTGATGATTTACAGTGATTTAGCGCGAAAAATAGAGGTACCCTCTGGTAAACTAACGTAGATATAGAAAATCACCATTATTAATGGGTAAATCCACTATTTCTATGGTCATTTTCAATAGCAAACTGTTAAATTACCAGAGGGTATCATCAAACGTGGAGAATGGGGTTAATGGGGTTAACCCAAGAATAAACCATCCCGAATGACTTACCAGAAATGGGTTGCATCAAGCCTCCTTAAAATTAGAGGTTTATGGAATTGGGGTTGCCACATGATAGGGGATGGGATGGATGTTGTGGGATGGGATTGGATGATGGGCTTGGGAAGCTTGGGATTCATCATATTTGTTGGGTTAAATCAGTAATGCTCTCAAACCAAGCTAAAAAATGCGAAGCTTTCAGGTTCAAGATTGTAATCTAGAAAATTGATGAAAATTGGATGGAGTTGATATGATGACATGGTAGGATGGGATCGGATGGGGATTGCGGGTTTGTGTGACGTGTGATGATTGAGTACATTTCTCTGTGTAGATGGAAGGCTCATGCAGTTGTCGATTTCCAACTTTCTGGCAACACAGGCAGGGCTCACCAGGAAACTAACCAATCCATTCATTTTTGCCCAGAATTGCATCGTATGATGGTGTCTCAGCCAAGGTCTCAGCAGTGTTCCTATCTGGTGGTACAGCACTTTGTAAAGGGCGAAGTGCCCCCGCAGTGGTTCCCTGCGGCCATGTGCGCCATGGACCGGGTGTCACGGGTTCTTCACATCTCTTGTGGGTTTTCTGTGTTTTCTCTATTGGTTGGTCAGCTTCCTCCGAAAAATCCCCTTCGAGCTGCCAGCTGTCTCACCCTGTAGGACTTGTCTTTCGAGTTAGCGCAGCACGGCAGCAAGGCGCTGGATACTGCGCACCGGTCACCTGACAAGGCGCTGTTGATCTGTGGCAATCTGGCAATCTGTGGGATGATGTGGGATGATGTGGGACCCCCCAAAATTGGGATCATTTGGCAGGTCTGGGAGAACATTCTGAATCGCATGCTCTGCGGCATTCTTGGAGGCGCTGCAGAGAAGAGTTATGTGGTCAATTTTTGGTGAAGCTGTTTAGGGAGAAAGCTTGGGGATGCCAGAGTCAAGTTGGTTCATACCCTCTGGTAATTTAACATAGCTATTGAAAATGACCATATATAGTGGATTTTCCCATTAAAAATTGTGATTTTCCATAGCTATGTTAAATTACCAGAGGGTAGATCACTGACGCTTCTGACAACTTGACAACTTCATGTTGCAGGTGGCGAGGGCCACGTGGCTGGGACTGATCAATACGGAGGGATGGGAAGGAGCATCTGTGGAGGTAGACCCAAGCGATTCTGGCTTCATCTAAGGAGAATGGAGAGGTGGAGGCGCACCAGGGGCGAAGCGCGAGGAAATCTGTTCCCGAGGAGTTTTGAGTGGAAATCCAAATGTCCTATCCAAAATTCATTAGATTTCCTAGTTTTGAACCTCAAAGAGGGTCAGGGTAGGTTATTCCAACCTGGAAAAGGGTCATGAATTCCATTTCCACATTGCATTTCTTTGAAAAGTTCCGCACCAAATGGCATATTTCACCAGGTTACAAAGTGCTTCACACTTTCCACTCAATCGTGGTTCAACCCCCCAAAATGGAGCCTGGAATCTGGAGACTGGGCTCTGGAAAGATGTCTCTGGGAGATTGTGCTGGGGCGAATTATGTATGGGATGGAATGCGTCCAAAATGACCATACCCACAACATAGGATTTCGATCCATGTTCAGCATCCATTTAATAATGATCAATATTTAATGGTCAATTTCCATTCCATTTCTAATTGTGATCAATACTTTAACAACGTGAATTTGTCTGAAACTGGGAACCCTTCATCCCATGGCAATATCCCAGTTTCAGACAAATCCAAATATCACATTGCTGGTTGTCCCTATGTATACCAGTAGTACCGCGCAAGGCGGTGGCGGAAGTTTCAAAAATAGGAAACCTATAGGAGAAGTTGGTTGTTGTGAATCAGGGATGGCAGAGCGAAGCCACTGATTGACCGAAAGGTGGTTGGAGTTGTGTTTGCTGGAATGGTTGCAATGGTTGCAGTGGTCACCTCACCAACAACTGCTGGATGTAGTGTGATGTACTGCAGCTGTAGTTGTAGTTGTAGCGTAGTGGAGTTGTAGTTGTGGTGTAATGTAATTAGTGTAGTGTAGTTGCAGTCATATGGTTGTAGCTGTAGTTGTTTTGTAGTTGTAGTTGTAGTTGTTGTAGTTGTAGTTGTTGTGTGGTTGTAGTTGTTGTGTAGTGTAGTAGTAGTAGTAGTAGCAGTAGTAGTAGTAGTTGTTGTTGTAGTTGTTGTAGTTGTAGTTGTAGTTGTAGTTGTAGTAGTAGTAGTAGTAGTAGTAGTTGTTGTTGTTGTTGCTGTTGTTGTTGATGTTGTAGTTGTAGTAGTTGTAGTTGTAGTTGTAGTTGTAGTTGTAGTTGTAGTTGTAGTTGTAGTAGTAGTAGTAGTTGTTGTTGTAGTTGTTGCAGTAGTTGTTGTTGTTGCTGTTGCTGTTGTCGTCGAAGTTAGGGTAGTTAAGTTAGTGAAGTTAGTTAAGTTAGTCAAGTTAGTTAAGTTAATCAGTGTCTACTTTTTCGACATCTTCACGCCAAAAAAGGCTCAAAACCCTCAGTTTTTTACACTTTTGACTTCGAAATGTGCTTCGCGCCACAACGGCGTGCACTTTTTCGACACTTTTTCGACATCTGAACCTCCAAAAGTGGTCCGAGACCGTCAGTTTTTAACACTTTTGACTTGGAAATGTGCTTCGCACCACAACGGCGTTCACTTTTTCGACATCTCAACTTCCAAAAGTGGTCCGAGAATGGTGTGTTTTGTACATTTTGACTTGGAAATGTGCTTCGCGCCACAACGGCGTGCACTTTTTCGACATCTCAACTTCCAAAAGTGCTCCGAGCACCAGGTGTTTTGTACATTTTGACTTGGAAATGTGCTTCGCGCCACAACGGCGTGCACTTTTTCGACATCTCAACTTCCAAAAGTGGTCCGAACGTGGTGTGTTTTGTACATTTTGACTTCGAAATGTGCTTCGCGCCACAACGGCGTGCACTTTTTCGACATCGCAACTTCCAAAAGTGGTCCGCTCCTCTAGTGTTTTGTCCATTTTGACTTGGAAATGTGCTTCGCGCCACAACGGCGTGCACTTTTTCATGTCTCATCTGGCCAGCTGGCTCCGCACCCGCCGCTTTAGCGAGCCTACTTTTCGACCCTCCGGAGCCACAAATCATTGGAAAAACACAGTGAATCGCGACTTTCCTATCTTTTCGCGCATCTACCTCTTCTTTCTTCTGATCTTGTCTCTTCTGACTCTTCTCACCTCTGCTTTTCAACTGTCCATATTGTCGGAAGTTTAGCTTCTAAACTTCCTTCGATTAGTATTCCCCACAATACCTTCAAATATCCGCAGATATCCCCCAAACATCCCCCACGTTCCTCAACTATCCCCACATATACCCTCTGGTAATTTAACGTAGCTATTTCTTTATAGGTCAATTTCACCATTTTTATCGTCTATAAATGGGCCATTTTCCATAGGCTATGTTTTTAATAACCAGAGGGTATATTAGGAGGTTTCCTATCTGGGTAGCCCCAAAAATCATCTATGTTTGCAGTTTTAATAGAGATTTTCCATGAAATAAACCATCATAACCATCCTTAAATCATCTATTTTCATAGGATTTTCCAAGAAATGTCATGAAATAAACCATGGACCATCCAGCGATTGGGGTTTTCCCATGACTATGGAAACATCTCCAGAGGTGCGCAAGGTGCAAGTGCCCCAACTGGGCTGTGTGGCCTTTGTGGCAGGGCATTTGGCCTTGAGGACGGAGGGCTGTCAAATGGATACTTCAATGGATACGATGTGGATGTTATATAGATATTATATGATGTTATATAGGTATTATAGATTTTATATATATATATATATTATTATGTATATATATATATATGTATTTGTGGATGTTATATGGATATAATTTGGATGTTGCATTAGTTTATTCGTGACATATGGATCCTCATTATATGATGGCAGATATTTTTGGGTCTGATCCCATTCATCTATTGATACATGTTGATATATACATATGGAAGAATTATGGATCATGCATCCCATCCAGATACCGAGGATGGATAATTTGGGATCCGACTATCAATATGGATGAGCCAATTGGAAACAGGATATGAATTCTATGGCAGTCAATTCTATGGGATTTTGCATGTCACTTGGAATGGTTTGTGAAAAATGGGGAAACCATGGCGTGCAAAGTTTGGATGCCACATGGATGCAGATCCACATGCATTCTACATGAATGTACGAAAAACATTGCTGTAAAAAAAAACATGTAGGATTGGGATGTGTGAGCAACAAAACTGCGGATTTGAATGGGGATTTTATAGGATGGAAAACCGGTTTTGTTGTATGTAATAGTGACGGCCCATTAGATGGACTCTTGAAAATGGGATGGACTTTTGATGGGCCTCTTTATGATGGATATTTTACTAGCATGGCCCGCGAGAAATGCGTTTCTTTGAGTTCCTTGTATGAAAAGCACCATCCTATCATCTATGATATGATAAAGATCTTCACCACTAGATGGACAGATTATCTGCAAATAAAGAACCATTTATATAGTTTGTTAGTTGGCGCATGCCGCATGAGGCATTGTTGCCTTGTTCTTGATCAGCCGCCAGCAACTTGTTCCATCCTAAACCAGAGAAACTGTCAGTCAGGAAGCACCTTGGAAGTAAAGCGACACTTTGGTGGTGTATATATATATATATCATGTACACATAATATTTCTACTTCTTTCAGCCGGAAGAGGTGAGTTGCAAAGCTACAAAACTGGCCATCCCAAAGCATTTGATCAGCGCGGAGGATGCTGATCTTCCTGGAAGGTTTGCAATCTGCCCTGAAGAGGTTCGGTTCTGGATCTCAGAGGTGTCAGAAATGTCAGAAATGTCAGAAATGTCAGAAATGGGGATGGGTCAAAACCCTGGTACCTGGTGAACCCCAAAATAGCTGGTAAATGGATGTGAATAACCCACTAGAAATGTATCTATAGGTATTGACCCATACCCAAATGTCACACCTTTTGAAGATATCACCTCATCAACTAAGACCAATTGAGCCAACCGAAACAGCACCGTTGACCAGGCAGAGGCTGGCACAGGAAGAAGCCAAGATCGCGGAGCAACGTGAGAAGAGTAAGGAAAAGAAGGTGCACCAACAATTTCTTATGGAGTGAACTGGTGGATTTCATTCATGAAAATTCAGGATTTCACTACAAAGATTGGGTTTTGATTTATTTTGATCAACCAAATTTGGGATGGAAATCATCTGTTGGGATACCACCATGGAGACATCATTGATCTCACGGCCTTGAACAAAATGGAACATACCCACATTATGCTCTATATTAGATTCGCTGGTTACCCCAATGATCCAACCATGGAGCCTACACAGCCAAGTACTATATATATATTACATATATTGTGTCATGACATGTCATCTCATATCATGTCATGTCATCTTATCTTATCTCATGTCATGTCATGTCATGTCATCTCATGTCATGTCATCTCATGTCATGTCATCTTATCTCATGTCATCTCATGTCATGTCATCTTATCTTATCTCATGTCATGTCATGTCATCTCATGTCATGTCATCTCATGTCATGTCATCTCATGTCATGTCATGTCATCTTATCTTATCTCATGTCATGTCATGCCATCTTATCTCATGTCATGTCATGTCATCTTATTTTATCTCATGTCATCTTATTTTATCTCATGTCATGTCATGTCATCTTATCTTATCTCATGTCATGTCATCTCATGTCATGTCATATCTGTCTTTGTATACCTTATGGTAGGGGTATTCTCTTGCAGTCCTCACCACCTAGCACCAGCCCCTCGTTTGGAGACTTCGCCAGGCCAGCAAGAAGGGCAAGGGTGCCAAGGCCGTCGAAGAGGACGAGGACACGCAAAATCCTCGGGAGGTTGTGGGGAGGTCGCTTTGTGAATTCCGGAAAGGTTCGGAAAACGATGTTTTTTCCAGTTGTTCCCTTTAACTGAAATTGGCTTGGAACTTGGAAGAATTTGTTTGTTTATGCTTGACTGTTGGATTTGATTTTGATTGTTATTTTCACGCAAAACATTTGATTGACAGAAGGGAAGACAGGTGAACTGGGCACTGGGGCACTGTCTAAGTGTTTTTGCCGTGAACCAACGGGGAGCCAGGAGAAGGCTGAGACTTCCATGGGAGGTGTGGGCCTCGAAGAGCGCGAAGCTGAGGTGCCGAGCGGTAGCGGATACCCAGGGTTTGTGTCTGAAATTGGGGGTGTATACCCCCCGCAAAAAATGCCACTTTGATAAGGAAAATATGGGAAAATGATGATTAGATTATAGATGATGACAAAGCATCAAATTTGAGGCTACCCCATTTTCGGACAAACCCATACATGTAGATATGACCAGTGTTGCGCATATAGTCACTTATACTTTTGCATTTAGACATGATGAAGCCAACAAACAATGATAACAATCCAGCGAAATGAAAAGAACCGCAACAAAACGTGGATTTCATCCGAGTCGTCACTTTTGTCAGCGGCATTTCCGAACCCTGCACAGGCCTTTGCCCAGATTGCCGAGACGGGACTGCTGTACAGCAACCGCTTGCTGGATCGGGTGAAGCCATTGTTGTTCGCATGCCTGCTGGACAAGGTGCCATGGGAGTCCATGTTGGGAAAAAAAAACTTTTTGTGGGTAAGAAACAACAGAGACCATCAGAAAGCCATAGAAAGCTACGATTTTTGTCAACTTAAGCCACATCTTTTCAGCCGACGGAAGGAGCTCCGGGGCTATCCCTTGATCCGTCGCGTGGGCGCCATCAGCCTTTGCAAGTTCATGACGGCGCCTCTGGCATTGCGAGGGGGTCGGTGATGGGAGGTACCTGTTACCCTGGTGTTGACTAATGTGTTTTGATCTCAAGAACCAATTGTCTATGACTGATAAATCCCAAAGCCATCTAAAAACGAATCAGTAAATTAGGGGATATCGGGGATGACAGAAGGTGGGGCACTGTTCACTTAATCCAAACCTTCGAGGATATTAGTTGGGACCCCAATAGCTGAATAGCTCCACCGAGGTGTCGAAACGCTTCTGCGAGGAAAATCTGCAGCTGCTTTTCTCAGTGCTCTTCCCAAAGAACGGCAAGGGCCAGTTGCAGGGTGCGACGCAGGTAGGGCCAAAAGCTCGGGGAAACATCGGATGGTGTGGGCTGGTAACCAGTGACATGGGTGATCATGGGTTTGAGCAACAAAAATATGGGAATGGCTCAGTTGATCACTGAGGATGAGAGATTTGGTAAATACCCAGTGAAGGCTCATGTTCATGAAGCAAAAGTGACTGGGATTTCGCCTCTCAGGAGCATATCAGCAGATGTGTTGAGTCTTTTGATACAGCTTCAATAGGAACGGATTTCAAGCATTTTGATTTCTCCATCCCTACCTTCCCAGAATTGGCTCAAAGAAAAATATGTAGCGGGTACAAAGTACAAACAATGCTTCCTGTAGATTTTGCTCCGAACCAATCCATTGATACTTGGGATGATGATGATGATGATGACGACGACGATGACGACCAATCACTTTCATCTTCCGCTAGGAAGCCATTGCCGAAGGAGGACTCCTGGAGGACTGGCCTGACATGGCCATCTTGCCACTCAATTTCCTGCCATGAAATCCCATGGCAGTTTTTCAGCAAGTATGCCTCAAAATTGTCCTTTGTAGCCTTGTATGTTGACAACCTACATAGCCCTGTATGTTGCAACCTTCGTAGCCCTGTATGTTGGCAACCTCCTTTGTAGTCCTGTATGTTGGCAACCTACAGCGTGGGAGGTCCCCAAGATGCATCAAAATTGTCCTTTGTAGCCCTGTATGTTGGCAACCTACAGCGTGGGAGGTTCCCAAGGTGCCTCAAAATCGTCATTGCATCAAGATTGTCCTTTGTAGCCCTGTATGTTGGCAACCTACAGCGTGGGAGGTCCCCAAGATGCATCAAAATTGTCCTTTGTAGCCCTGTATGTAGGTTGCCACAGTGGAAGGTCCCCAAGATGCATGAAAATTATCCTTTGTAGCCATGTATGTTGGCAACCTACAGAGTGGGAGGTCCCCAAGATGCATCAAAATTGTCCTTTGTAACCCTGTATATTGGCAACCTACAGCGTGGGAGGTCCCCAAGATGCATCAAAATTGTCCTTTGTAGCCATGTATGTTGGAAAAAAAAATACAGTGTGGGAGGTTCCCAAGGTGCCTCAAAATTGTCCTTTGTAGCCCTGTATGTTGGCAACCTACAGCGTGGGAGGCCCAAGATGCATCAAAATCGTCCTTTGTAGCCCTGTATGTTGGCAACCTACAGCGTGGGAGGTCCCCAAGATGCATCAAAATTGTCCGTTGTAGCCCTGTATGTAGGTTGCCACAGTGGAAGGTCCCCAAGATGCATCAAAATTATCCTTTGTAGCCATGTATGTTGGCAAACTACAGTGTGGGAGGTTCCCAAGGTGCCTCAAAATTGTCCTTTGTAGCCCTGTATGTTGGCAACCTACAGCGTGGGAGGTCCCCAAGATGCATCAAAATTGTCCTTTGTAGCCCTGTATGTTGGCAACCTACAGCGTGGGAGGTCACCAAGATGCATCAAAATTGTCCTTTGTAGCCCTGTATGTAGGTTGCCACAGTGGAAGGTCCCCAAGATGCATTAAAATTAATTATCCTTCGTAGCCATGTATGTTGGCAAACTACAGTGTGGGAGGTCCCCGAGATGCATCAAAATTGTCCTTTGTAGCCCTGTATGTTGGCAACCTACAGCGTGGGAGGTCCCCAAGATGCATCAAAATTGTCCTTTGTAGCCCTGTATGTAGGTTGCCACAGTGGAAGGTCCCTAAGATGCATCAAAATTATCCTTTGTAGCCATGTATGTTGGCAACCTACAGAGTGGGAGGTCCCCAAGATGCATCAAAATTGTCCTTTGTAACCCTGTATATTGGCAACCTACAGCGTGGGAGGTCCCCAAGATGCATCAAAATTGTCCTTTGTAGCCCTGTATGTTGGCAACCTACAGCGTGGGAGGCCCCCAAGATGCATCAAAATTGTCCTTTGTAGCCCTGTATGTAGGTTGCCACAGTGGAAGGTCCCCAAGATGCATCAAAATTATCCTTTGTAGCCATGTATGTTGGCAACCTACAGAGTGGGAGGTCCCCAAGATGCATCAAAATTGTCCTTTGTAACCCTGTATGTTGGCAACCTACAGCGTGGGAGGTCCCCAAGATGCATCAAAATTGTCCTTTGTAGCCCTGTATGTTGGCAACCTACAGCGTGGGAGGTCCCCAAGATGCATCAAAATTGTCCTTTGTAGCCCTGTATGTAGGTTGCCACAGTGGAAGGTCCCCAAGATGCATCAAAATTATCCTTTGTAGCCATGTATGTTGGCAACCTACAGAGTGGGAGGTCCCCAAGATGCATCAAAATTGTCCTTTGTAGCCCTGTATGTAGGTTGCCACAGTGGAAGGTCCCCAAGATGCATCAAAATTATCCTTTGTAGCCATGTATGTTGGCAACCTACAGAGTGGGAGGTCCCCAAGATGCATCAAAATTGTCCTTTGTAGCCCTGTATGCAGGTTGCCACAGTGGAAGGTCCCCAAGATGCATCAAAATTATCTTTTGTAGCCATGTATGTTGGCAACCTACAGAGTGGGAGGTCCCCAAGATGCATCAAAATTGTCCTTTGTAGCCCTGTATGTAGGTTGCCACAGTGGAAGGTCCCCAAAATGCATCGAAATTATCCTTTGTAGCCATGTATGTTGGCAACCTACAGAGTGGGAGGTCCCCAAGATGCATCAAAATTGTCCTTTGTAGCTCTGTATGTAGGTTGCCACAGTGGAAGGTCCCCAAGATGCATCAAAATTATATATCCTTTGTAGCCATGTATGTTGGCAACCTACAGCGTGGGAGGTCCCCAAGATGCATCAAAATTGTCCTTTGTAGCCCTGTATGTAGGTTGCCACAGTGGAAGGTCCCCAAGATGCATCAAAATTATCTTTTGTAGCCATGTATGTTGGCAACCTACAGAGTGGGAGGTCCCCAAGATGCATCAAAATTGTCCTTTGTAGCCCTGTATATTGGCAACCTACAGCGTGGGAGGTCCCCAAGATGCATCAAAATTATCTTTTGTAGCCATGTATGTTGGCAACCTACAGAGTGGGAGGTCCCCAAGATGCATCAAAATTGTCCTTTGTAGCCCTGTATGTAGGTTGCCACAGTGGAAGGTCCCCAAGATGCATCAAAATTATCCTTTGTAGCCATGTATGTTGGCAACCTACAGAGTGGGAGGTCCCCAAGATGCATCAAAATTGTCCTTTGTAGCCCTGTATGTAGGTTGCCACAGTGGAAGGTCCCCAAGATGCATCAAAATTGTCCTTTGTAGCCCTGTATGTAGGTTGCCACAGTGGGAGGTCCCCAAGATGCAGCAAATATCAAAATTATCTATTTGTAGCCATGTATGTTGGCAACCTACAGAGGTCCCCAAGATGCATCAACAAAAAATATCCTTTGTAGCCATGTATGTTGGCAACCTACAGAGTGGGAGGTCCCCAAGATGCATCAAAATTGTCCTTTGTAGCCCTGTATGTTGGCAACCTACAGAGGTCCCCAAGATGCATCAAAATTATCTTTTGTAGCCATGTATGTTGGCAACCTACAGAGTGGGAGGTCCCCAAGATGCATCAAAATTGTCCTTTGTAGCCCTGTATGTAGGTTGCCACAGTGGAAGGTCCCCCCCTTTGTAGCCATGTATGTTGGCAACCTACATCAAAATGCATCAAAAATTGTCCTTTGTAGGTGCCACAGTGGAAGGTCCCCAAGTATGTTGGCAACCTACAGAGTGGGAGGTCCCCAAGATGCATCAAAATTGTCCTTTGTAGCCCTGTATGCAGGTTGCCACAGTGGAAGGTCCCCAAGATGCATCAAAATTATCTTTTGTAGCCATGTATGTTGGCAACCTACAGAGTGGGAGGTCCCCAAGATGCATCAAAATTGTCCTTTGTAGCCCTGTATGTAGGTTGCCACAGTGGAAGGTCCCCAAAATGCATCGAAATTATCCTTTGTAGCCATGTATGTTGGCAACCTACAGAGTGGGAGGTCCCCAAGATGCATCAAAATTGTCCTTTGTAGCTCTGTATGTAGGTTGCCACAGTGGAAGGTCCCCAAGATGCATCAAAATTATATATCCTTTGTAGCCATGTATGTTGGCAACCTACAGCGTGGGAGGTCCCCAAGATGCATCAAAATTGTCCTTTGTAGCCCTGTATGTAGGTTGCCACAGTGGGAGGTCCCCAAGATGCATCAAAATTGTATCTGTTTGTAGTAGGTTGTATGTTGGCAACCTACCCCAGGGAGGATGCATCAAAATTATCCTTGCATAAAATTGTCCTTTGTAGCCCTGTATATTGGCTACAGCGTGGGAGGTCCCCAAGATGCATCAAAATTACTTTTGTAGCCATGTATGTTGGCAACCTACAGAGTGGGAGGTCCCCAAGATGCATCAAAATTGTCCTTTGTAGCCCTGTATGTAGGTTGCCACAGTGGAAGGTCCCCAAGATGCATCAAAATTATCTTTTGTAGCCATGTATGTTGGCAACCTACAGAGGTCCCCAAGATGCATCAAAATTATCTTTTGTAGCCTGTATGTTGGCAACCTACAGTGGAGGTCCCCAAGATGCATCAAAATTGTCCTTTGTAGCCATGTATGTTGGCAACCACAGAGGTCCCCAAGATGCATCAAAATTATCTTTTGTAGCCATGTATGTTGGCAACCTACAGAGGTCCCCAAGATGCATCAAAATTATCTTTTGTAGCCATGTATGTTGGCAACCTACAGAGTGGGAGGTCCCCAAGATGCATCAAAATTATCTTTTGTAGCCATGTATGTTGGCAACCTACAGAGTGGGAGGTCCCCAAGATGCATCAAAATTATCTTTTGTAGCCCTGTATGTTGGCAACCTACAGCGTGGGATGTCCCCAAGATGCATCAAAATTGTCCTTTGTAGCCCTGTATGTAGGTTGCCACAGTGGAAGGTCCCCAAGATGCATCAAAATTATCCTTTGTAGCCATGTATGTTGGCAACCTACAGAGTGGGAGGTCCCCAAGATGCATCAAAATTGTCCTTTGTAGCCCTGTATGTAGGTTGCCACAGTGGAAGGTCCCCACGATGCATCAAAATTATCCTTTGTAGCCATGTATGTTGGCAACCTACAGAGTGGGAGGTCCCCAAGATGCATCAAAATTATCCTTTGTAGCCATGTATGTTGGAAAAAAAAATACAGTGTGGGAGGTCCCCAAGATGCATCAAAATTGTCCTTTGTAACCCTGTATATTGGCAACCTACAGCGTGGGAGGTCCCCAAGATGCATCAAAATTATCCTTTGTAGCCATGTATGTTGGAAAAAAAATACAGTGTGGGAGGTCCCCAAGATGCATCAAAATTGTCCTTTGTAGCCATGTATGTTGGAAAAAAAATACAGTGTGGGAGGTCCCCAAGATGCATCAAAATTATCCTTTGTAGCCATGTATGTTGGAAAAAAAATACAGTGTGGGAGGTCCCCAAGATGCATCAAAATTATCCTTTGTAGCCATGTATGTTGGCCAGTGTGGGAGGTCCCCAAGATGTCCTTTGTAGCCATGTAAAAAAAATACAGTGTGGGAGGTCCCCAAGATGCATCAAAATTGTCCTTTGTAGCCATGTATGTTGGAAAAAAAATACAGTGTGGGAGGTCCCCAAGATGCATCAAAATTATCCTTTGTAGCCATGTATGTTGGAAAAAAAAATACAGTGTGGGAGGTCCCCAAGATGCATCAAAATTGTCCTTTGTAGCCATGTATGTTGGAAAAAAAAATACAGTGTGGGAGGTCCCCAAGATGCATCAAAATTGTCCTTTGTAGCCATGTATGTTGGAAAAAAAATACAGTGTGGGAGGTCCCCAAGATGCATCAAAATTATCCTTTGTAGCCATGTATGTTGGAAAAAAAATACAGTGTGGGAGGTCCCCAAGATGCATCAAAATTGTCCTTTGTAGCCATGTATGTGAGAAAAAAAAATACAGTGTGGGAGGTCCCCAAGATGCTTCAAAATTGTCCTTTGTAGCCCTGTATGTTGGCAAACTACAGTGTGAGAGGTCCCCAAGATGCATCAAAATTGTCCTTTGTAGCCCTGTATCTTGGCAAACTACAGTGTGAGAGGTTCCCAAGGTGCATCAAAATTGTCCTTTGTAGCCCTGTATGTAGGTTGCCACAGTGGAAGGTCCGCAAGATGCATCAAAATTGTCCTTTGTAGCCCTGTATGTTGGCAAACTACAGTGTGAGAGGTCCCCAAGATGCATCAAAATTGTCCTTTGTAGCCCTGTATGTTGGCAAACTACAGTGTGAGAGGTCCCCAAGATGCATCAAAATTGTCGTTTGTAGCCCTGTATGTTGGCAAACTACAGTGTGAGAGGTTCCCAAGGTGCATCAAAATTGTCCTTTGTAGCCCTGTATGTTGGCAACCTACAGCGTGGGAGGTCCCCAAGATGCATCAAAGTTGTCCTTTGTAGCCCTGTATGTTGGCAAACTACAGTGTGAGAGGTCCCCAAGATGCATCAAAATTGTCCTTTGTAGCCCTGTATGTTGGCAAACTACAAAGATGCATCAAAATTGTCCTTTGTAGCCCTGTATGTTGGCAACCTACAGCGTGGGAGGTCCCCAAGATGCATCAAAGTTGTCCTTTGTAGCCCTGTATGTTGGCAAACTACAGTGTGAGAGGTCCCCAAGATGCATCAAAATTGTCCTTTGTAGCCCTGTATGTTGGCAACCTACAGCGTGGGAGGTCCCCAAGATGCATCAAAGTTGTCCTTTGTGCCCTGTATGTTGGCAAACTACAGTGTGAGAGGTCCCCAAGATGCATCAAAATTGTCCTTTGTAGCCCTGTATGTTGGCAAACTACAGTGTGAGAGGTTCCCAAGGTGCATCAAAATTGTCCTTTGTAGCCCTGTATGTAGGTTGCCACAGTGGAAGGTCCGCAAGATGCATCAAAATTGTCCTTTGTAGCCCTGTATGTTGGCAACCTACAGCGTGGGAGGTCCCCAAGATGCATCAAAGTTGTCCTTTGTAGCCCTGTATGTTGGCAAACTACAGTGTGAGAGGTCCCCAAGATGCATCAAAATTGTCCTTTGTAGCCCTGTATCTTGGCAAACTACAGTGTGAGAGGTTCCCAAGGTGCATCAAAATTGTCCTTTGTAGCCCTGTATGTTGGCAAACTACAGTGTGGGAGGTTCCCAAGGTGCCTCAAAATTGTCCTTTGTAGCCCTGTATGTTGGCAACCTACAGCGTGGGAGGTCCCCAAGATGCATCAAAATTGTCCTTTGTAGCCCTGTATGTAGGTTGCCACAGTGGAAGGTCCCCAAGATGCATCAAAATTATCTTTTGTAGCCCTGTATGTTGGCAAACTACAGTGTGAGAGGTCCCCAAGATGCATCAAAATTGTCGTTTGTAGCCCTGTATGTTGGCAAACTACAGTGTGAGAGGTTCCCAAGGTGCATCAAAATTGTCCTTTGTAGCCCTGTATGTTGGCAACCTACAGCGTGGGAGGTCCCCAAGATGCATCAAAGTTGTCCTTTGTAGCCCTGTATGTTGGCAAACTACAGTGTGAGAGGTCCCCAAGATGCATCAAAATTATCTTTTGTAGCCCTGTATGTTGGCAACCTACAGCGTGGGAGGTCCCCAAGATGCATCAAAATTGTCCTTTGTAGCCCTGTATGTAGGTTGCCACAGTGGAAGGTCCCCAAGATGCATCAAAATTATCTTTTGTAGCCCTGTATGTTGGCAACCTACAGCGTGGGAGATCTTGTAGCGTTGAAGTCTCCCAACTCCAGGACTTGACGCTCCGCCAGTCGCTGCTGGTGGCCGTCGGAGATCTGCTCTTCCGCCATCCCAATGTGGTTGAACCCTGGTGGGGCTGCCTGGGCTGATAGAGGTGAAGGTCATCTGAGGCTTCGGGATGTACCCGAAAATAATAGGAAAATCTAATCTGAACTTCATTTCATTGATTTTTTCAATGTTGGCTCGTTCTAGTGGGGCTTGAACCCCACTTGCAAGTGGACATGTGGCCATGTTGTTTGGAGCGAGCTGTAGGTTTTTTGGCGATAGCCTCATGGTGTTGCTTGTACACAATTGAAATCTAACCTGGAACCTCCATCTTCCAAAGCCATTTTTCGGGATTCCTACCCCCACACTTGTTGGCAAACCCTGATGTTCCTTGCTTCACCACCCATTTTTGGTTGCTTGAGGCTTTTATCATTCCGTGTTTTGTTGATGACACTAGCTCCTTTTGGTTACTGCAAATCGCCATTTCAGGTGGTTTTTCACCAGCTGAAACCAACATATTTCTGCCCCAATGAACAGCTGGACGTCCTCCAGGACTGGCCGCCTCTATAGTACCCTGAGCACGGCCGACGCCAGCGGCAACGCCGTGGATTTGCGCTTGACGGCGCTGCTGGTGTTGACGCGCCTTGGTGCATGGGGAGCATGATCCCTGCAGGATGGGTCAACGGTTGACAATCGACAAAAAGGAACCTTGGGACCTTGGGTTTAATGTGTACTTACCAGCTAAATACCAGCTAAAGATGAGTTTTTTTTTGCCATCCAAGACCCACCATGTACCGGATTTCACCACCCAGTGCCATGTCATGGCATTTAAACCCCCCAAAACAATGGGAGTTTTCTCAGGCACCTGGTGCTGAACGACATGATGAAACCCCGGCCGGTGCTCCTGATCCGAGCCTTGTGGTTGACAGCATGTGCCTCGGGGAATGATGGTCGGATGGTCGGGTTTCAATGACTTTGGGACCGTAGCTCAACGCTCCCCAAACCCAAACGATGCACTTTCCTCTCCCGTCGACCATATTTGAGAAACGGTTTGCTTCTATGTCAAGTTGAACTCTGTCAAGTTGAACTCAGTTGAGGCAGTGTCTGGACCCCATGAAAGCGACACCAACATACACCAACCAATTCAACCAATCTCTCCGATTCTCTCCGATATGTGGAATGTACCTCCACTTTCTGGCCATTCTTCCAATTCATCCAGGCAACCACGAGGCCACCGCCCGTGTGGCGCGGATCCTCTTCCAGGCAAAGGGGTTTTCCATGGAAAGATGGAGGATGACTAGCACTATGTAGCAATAATTGAAAGAGGAGATAAAGCAAATAATATTTGAGAACATCACAGAACATCAATAATGATGAACATAGACATAGATGATTCAGACAAATATCTGAGAACCTTTATGAACTGGATTTGCAGTGGACCAAGATTTAATACACCTGGAATGCAAAGTTTGCTGATGCCATTCTTCGTTTTGGGTTCAAGCCTGAGGCCCAAGAAAAATCGAACATGTTCATTTTGTGGATTAAAGTGTTGATGATTCTCAATTTTGCAGGTTTTACCCCCCACAAGATTCCTTGTTTCACCACACATTTGATACGATTCTGTCCCATTTTACCACCATAAACTACTCTTTTTTCGCATGACCCACCCATGGTATTCCCAGTTGATGTCTTGAACCCATGATTTTGTTCGCACCAGGAACTGGCGAAACGCACCACCAACGTGGTCTACAACTTGTTGCCGGAGATCGTGGCGCGTCTGCCCGAGCATGTGGAAGATGGCGTGGAGGGTGGTGCTGTGGCGCGGGTGCAGTACATCATGCAATTCGTGGAGAAGGAGACGGGAAAAAATGGACGTTGATGTCATTGAACCAACCACAAATGGAGGATATTTCATGAGATTTCATGAGGATATATCACTAACAATGTGATGTTTGGACATGGGACTGGATTGAAAGATTCCAGAAATGATGTGAAATGCAGATGACCGTAAATAGGCTCATGAACTGAGGGCCACAAATTGAGGTGTGGAGAAATGAATAGAAATGGTACAAAAGGTGGTTGGTATTCATCAACACCAGAGATCTAACTAAGTAATGATGGACTATGATTTCGAAAATGGGGAGTGTCCATTGCCAGATTAGATGAGCAGAGGCAGCAGAGGGACCACAGGAGAAACACATCGAGGGTCTCATTGAGAAATTCACCTTGCGGTTGGAGCAATGCGCCAGTGGTGCCGGAGGGGAGGTAGCTGCTGAGGCGCGGGAGCGGGTTTCCTGAACATGTTCCCTTTAAACCAATCCATCCATTTTTTTAGCCTTCTAATTGCAGCGTTTGAACGATTGGGCAAACACTTCTACATCATTTCAGGCCACCCAAGAGGAGGGTGAAGGAAAGACAGCCAAAGTGGAGGAGCCCTGCTGTGGGCCCCAGTTGTTCCAACTTCCCCAGGTTGGTGAGTTACTTCCATCAAGAGAGGCAGACAAAAAATGTATGGAATCTCACAGTGGTTGGATGAGCATACCTTATTTGAGTTGGACATATTGGACGTATATTGATTGGACATATTGGACGTCACGTTTTTTTGTTTTCTTCTTATGTGTTGATATGGGTTTGTCTGAAAACAGTGTACCCCTAAACCCAATGGTTAATGATCATTATCCCTATTAAATGGCTATAATTGGGAATATACCCTATTTTCAGACAAACCCATATTTTCGCTGGTCCTGAAGGACACTGTGTCTTGCTTAGCACATGCCCTGGGTGCCATGAACTATTCCGATCGATGCATTCTCCGGCTGCACGATGTGGTGGTGACTCGCAAGGTGAGGTCCGATCTTTCAATCCTGGCTGTTTCAACATGCTTCAAATATGTTCATTATATATATAAAATATTATATATCATTTTATATATCATTTTATATATCATTTTAATCATTTTATATTGTTTTCCATCATCAAACTGTATCTGGGATGACGGTTCCAAGTGACTTTCGCATTTCTGGGGTAGGTGGCTCACCTTTTGGATGTGGTCACCATGCCACGCAAGGCTTTGAATTTGGCCCTGTCATACTACCCGGTGGCCCGTGAGTGCTTGCTGGCCGTAGTGGACTCTGAGCAGAAGGGGTGGCTGCAATGGGACCACGGGGCCCTAAACACAACTGGGTAGCAATGCCAACCTTTGAAGCGTTCCAACCTGAAACCCAGATGAAACCCAATTGATGATGGTGTAACAGTGTAACAGCTGTTTTCATCTGTTTTCTGTGTTCAACTTCCACAGTTTTACTCTCCAAATTTCGAGTTTCACCTCAGGAGAAGGCGCGTAAGCCCCGCGGCAAGGGCGAAGACGGCGACGCCAAGGCCGCGGCCGCCGCGGCCGCACCTGCGGAGGGCGAAGGCAAGGCCAGTGGCGCGGCACAAGCGGCGCTGGATGCCATGGAACAGCTGGTGAACACCTTGGCACATGGCAAGGAGGAGATACTGCAGTTTGATATATAGCAACCTCACAAAAGAGAGGGAAATTGGAACCTGGAAAATATGCGGAAAGCATCACCCGCACCATCCTTTTTCGGGGGTTGTTATATATATATATACACGTACATGTATATATATATGTATACATACATACTACGACCCAAAAAGATAGAAAGGTAATTTATCACTATATTAGTTGGAATTTATTTACTTTTCTATCTATTTGGGTTGGTATGAAGAATAAAGAAATATGACGATTGATATACATGACAAGATGGTGTTTGGCATGGTGAGCAGTTACATCATGAATTATATATATAATAATACATGTTATGCTATGGCATGATTGTTGGGTAGTTACCAGTTTCACTGATATGAAAAACATTGCTCTGTAGCATATATATATATATCACATATATATATATACATATATAATATACATATGTAATGACATGGTATCATTTGATATCAATATCACATGGCATCACATGGTATTCATGATCGAGTCCCGCCAGGAGATGGAGATCCCGGCCACGGCTCCGGTTCCTGCGGTTCCTGCCACGGCGCAGCGCAAGGGCCAGGAGGCGAAGCGGAAAAACGCGGAGGCCAAGGAACCTGGATTTGAGGACGGCCATGGGATATCAATGGATTGGTTTTCACGGGAAATTTTACAGGAAAGCCCCATATTTAATGGGAAAATCTATGGTTTCCGGTTAAGATTTTCCCTTAAACCAATCCATTGAGGATAGCGTGTATTTCATGGGGTGGGAAAAAAAAATGGAGGAATATGAATGGAGCTACTGGTGCTTAGAATTTTGCAGCTCCAGAGGTGCAAACTGTGGATAAATGTGATATATTTGATCATACTGAACCATACTATGTCCTACAGATGCGGTGATTTTTGTGTCAAAGGAATGATGATACTGTAGCCAAAATACGATTTATTCAGGAATCTTTATTTAACCACCGAGTGGATACTTATTCTAAAAGTAGCTGTAGACCTGGCCTGAGTTGGCATGATTGTTGGGTAGTTACCAGTTTCACTAATATGAAAAACATTGCTCTGTAACATATATATATATATGTACACACATATATATATATATACATACATATATATATATACATATATATATACACATATACATATGTAATTACATGGTATCATTTGATATCAATATCACATGGTATTACATTTGATATTCATGATCGAGTCCCGCCAGGAGATGGAGATCCCGGCCTCGAATCGAACAAAACCTCACCGCCGAAGGAAACTTCAACAATCCCTCCAGGGTTGAGTTGGGGATGCTGTATTCTCGCAATCGGGGGTTTGACAGGCCGCTCTTTGAGGGCACTTACTGTACCTTCACTACCCATGTTGAAGAACTCCTCGCAAGTTGACCCTCGCAATTCGCAAGTTGACCCTCGCAATTGCCGTTCAAATTCGCTCGTCTCGCACACCACGATGAATATGGACTGTGCAGCTTGCCGTGGCTTGGAAATGAACAGATTTAGTGATTTTGGCCCGATTCCCAAACCGCAGTTTTCGAAGCCGATGTAAGTGTTGGTACTTGATTTCAGTTCCATCTGAGATACTTCCTCGCGAAAAGATTGTAATGCCATGGTCTCACAGTCGGCAACTGACTGCTGGGGGTGAGTCAGAGTTTATTCACGCCAGTTTAGGGGTGCGGAGCCGTGCGGATGCAAAAAGCTGCATGCCCTGGGGAAATATTTTCTTCGGCTGGGGGAGTTGATACCAAAAACATCCAAAAATGACCATGAAAAAATGGATTGGTTTAAGGGGAAATCTACAGGAAACCATGGTTTTTACCATCAAATATAGGGGTTTCCTGTAAATTTTTGCATCATCCAGTTCTATGAATGATGCCTTGGTGTGTTGGGGTCATTGCTCTTGACCTATATCCACTCTGTCCATCCCAATCCTGGTGTCGAGCCAATCACTGAGTACCCGAATCCTTTCATGAACCCATGAACCGTTTCGAAAAAACCAATGGGGTAGGGCAAGCCACATTCTGGCCCGGTACCTCAGCTTTGGAGATTTGCCAATCAGCACACAAGACATGGACTGATGGGCAACTTCACCATTTCTTCACCGTTTCTCTGTTCCAAATTCACACCATTTTTCTGACAAGGCCCAGAGGGTGAAGCCTTACCGGTCTTACAGGATGCCAGAGGCCCCGGAGTTTGCAATGCAAAAAGATGTTATTTGGATGTGGGTCAAAATGGAAGACCTAGGGTACCACAGATGTTAGTCTAGTTTAGTATTAACCATCCAATTATTGGGGTACCTAATTTTGACCCATACCCATTTAACTGGGGGTCCACCCCCCATCCCAGATGCCATGGCGTTGCCGAGTCGCCCTGTGGCCTCCTGGCCTCCTGCGCTGCTGCTGTTGCTGCTGGGCGTCGCGGTGACGCTGCTGTCGCTGTTGAAACGCCTGATCTTTGGCCGAGGCGACCTGGCAGATGGGGAATGGGACCATGGGGACCATGGGGACCGGTGAACCGGTGAAGCCTCGACCTATGCGCGATTTGGATGGATTTTTGGATCTGGGATGTTCAGATTTGGCTATGAATCAATGCCTATTAATACCATTTTTAGAGGGATGAACATCCATTTACCAGTTATTTGGGGTTTCACTAGGGTACCAAGGTTTTGACTCATACCCATTTCATTGAATTTCCTGGGAAATCCCATCAGGTTGACCGCAGTCTGCGCAAATCAATGCAAATCACAGTTCCTGTCAGCCCAGGCAGTGCAGCATTTCGTGTCATTGACACCCAGGTGCCAGAGCCATTGGTCTCGTGAAAAAGGTTGAAAGGCTGGACACCTGATAATTGAATATAATTGAATATAATTGAATATAATTGAATATAATTGAATATAGTTGAATATAGTTGAATATATTTGAATATAATTGAATATAATTGAATATAATTGAATATAATTGAATATAATTGAATATAATTGAATATAATTGAATATAATTGAATATAATTGAATATAATTGAATATTTGAATCCGGAGCCCCCAGCTTTCTTCATTGAAACTTCATTGTTCTTTTTTCCCGCAATTCTATTGAGTTCTATCTGAATTCATACATTCTGTATAGATTTGGTGGTCGGTGGGTCAGCTGTGGGTGAGATCCAAGTCGCCAAGGGCTCTTGGGGAGGTTAGATCCAACGAGAGATAGAAGCCATTCCTCGCAGAATTCAGATCGGAGATCCGGAGGATTAGTTTCAATATGATTCAATAATAGATGATGAAATTTATATTGAAGAGTTTCCAGAGACTCACAGAAAACCATTTATACCAGAGAAATCGACAGGACCGAGGGAAGGCCCTGGTGGCTACCAGATCCTTCCGATGCCTGGCTGCAGTACCTACCCCCTGGAAATATCTCATATGGCTGGCTGGAAATCTAGCATTTTTCGATGTTGTTTCCGTGTTTTCCTAGCAATAAAACTGGTAGTTCATCAGTTCATCTCCATTTCTAGAATTTTCTATATGATTTTCCCATCAAACATGGAGATGTGTTGAGCTTTATATGCATTGGGGACTTCACCGTAATGTCACCGAGGAGCTGGTGAAGTCATCTTCAAAGAGAAGGCGAGTTTCTGTTTTTGACACCATGGGGGGTCTGTGAATGTCCTGTTTATTTTGGGGAATTTTGAAGATTACCCTCTGGTAAACTAACATAGCTATTGAAAATGGCCATTTATAGTGAGTTTTCCCATCAAAAATTGTGATTTTCCATAGCTACGTTAAATTACCAGAGGGTACTTTCAAGATCTTTCAAGTATCTGTTGGAGATCATATCCCCAATAGTTGGGTGATGTTTTTTTTTTGACATTTACCAACCCCCAACCATGCAATGTTTGGGATTCAAAAACCGCGGATGCCCCAAAATGATGATCACCCATGAGGGTTTGGGGTACCAAAGACCTGTACGGAGATCCGCCAGTTTTGGATGTGGCATGACCATGATGAAATGGCTATCTAATTTGGTCATTTTGCCAGGAAAAGAACTATCAAATTCCATCCTCAACTGCAAACTTGTAGGGGATTCCTACTCGTAGCCATCCAGGCACAAAACATTGCAGCTGAGGGCTGCAGGGTACACGCCATGTTTGCATGGTAGCGAGATCAGGTGAATCCAGGTCTAAGGGTGAGACCGCGGCCAGGCGACCCATCACCCTGGGAGGCCAAGATTCGAGGCATTGGCGGTGTGGCTGGTGGGTGCTGGCGCTCTACGTGGTGCTCCTGCACTTCGTGATCCTCGAGCTGCTGGCGCAGAATGATGTCTGCCGAGGAGATGCAGGAGGCGATGGCCAACATGCAGGCCCAGCTGGCAAGGCTGTCGACGGAGACTGTGGCCTTGAACCAGAGGGTGGTGGCTGCTGAGCAGACGGCCCAGCAGGTGAACGTGGGGAGCATCCTTCAAGCTCTCCAAGGACTACCCGAGGCCATTTCGAGGCTGTCGAAACCCAAAGGGCTGATCGACCCGAAAGGCTTGGGCAAGCCGCAGGTGCTGGGGGACAACCCGGACGAGAAGTTCAGAACGTGGGCCATAAAGTTGGAGGACTATGTCACCGGTGTTTTCGGTGGGAAATCGAGGGAGGTGCTGGAGTGGGCTGCAGGGAGTGAAGTGGAGATCACCTTCCAGCTTGTCGACGTGACCTACGGCCACCAGGCGGACTTGCTGGACCAATGGGACGAGGTGGCAGTTTTCGATGAGCAGCTCTACACAGTCCTCCGTGCAACCACCGAGAACATCCCCTTCGACTTGGTGGAGAACGTGGAGAAGGGCAGAGGATTGGAGGCATGGAGGTGCCTGCACAAGAAGTATGACCCCAGCACAGGTGGTCGCAAACGGGTGATGTTGCATGCGCTCACGAACCCAGAGCGTGCGACATATGAGACTCTTGGAGGAGCCATCGAGAGATGGAAGGCACTTCGAGGTCGCTACGACCGGAAGAAGGACCAGTTTGGCAACAGGGAGAGCCTTCCTGAGTCGCTGGCGATGAACGCCATGGAGAAGTTGGTGCCCAAGGAGCTGGAGACACACCTCATGCTGAACTATGCCAGGTTCAAGTGCTTCGAGGAGATGGAGCGCGAGGTCGTCAACTTCGTGGAAGCCAAGCTTGGAGCGAAGCTGGTGCTGAGCAGCAACTTTGCCAAATCGTCCAATGCCGAGACAATCCCGATGGACGTGGACAGCTTGGTCCGCGCTGTATCCGGAACTATATCATCGCTGGTGAACAAGGGCAAGGGCAAGAGTGCTCAGTCCGGCAAGGGGCAGAAGTTCGACGGCAAGTGCGACCTATGCGGAAAGGTTGGTCACAAGAAGCGTGACTGCTGGCATGGGGGAAAAGGTGGCGCTTCTCCTGGTGGTGGCAAGGGCAAATCAACTCCGAGGAGCAACAGTTCGAGCCCTACAAAGAGCCCGAAATTCGAAGGCAAGTGCGACAATTGCGGGAAGGTCGGGCACAAGAGACGTGACTGTTGGTCGAAGCCCCAACATTCCTCAGGGGGAAAAGGCAAAGGCCGTGGTAAAGAGGCCAACAGCTTGGATGGGAACCAGCCTGAACAAGAACCACAGAAGGAGGCAAATGGGCTGGAGATTTGTGCAATCAGTGCCATGACCGAGGACGAAGGCAATAGCAGATCGAGGTCGCCTACGCCTGGGAGTGAGGACTGGTCAACGGTTTCGAGAAGGGTGAGAAGCTATGCTGGCAGTGAGGAGTCGGCGGTCATCAATGGCTTCAATGAGGAGCACCCGGGCTGGGTGAAGTGCAACTTGGACACTGGGGCATCTGTGACGGCGATCCCAAAGGAGTTCAAGCCGAATGGTGTCCCTGGTCAAGAGGCCTACAAGACAGCTTCGGGGGAGCTCATCCACAACTACGGCAAGGTCAGAATTCGAGGCACTGACGAGGGCGGAGTGATGAGGATCCTTAATGGCAATGCCACAGACGTGCAGAAGGTTCTCGTCAGTGCGAGCAAGCTACATCAAAAGGGATACTGCTCATGGATTGGGCCAGGCGGAGGAGAGATCTTCCCCATGGAGCACCCGATCAATGTCGCCTTGGGGAAGCCTACGCCAAAGCAGTTGAGCAGTACGGCAAGGATGGTCTCATACCACTTCGAGAAGAACGAGGGGTCTACAATTTCTACATCAAGATCGACACCGACTATGTTAACGAGGAGGTCGAGAGTGAGGCGGTGTCTGCAGTGGGGTCTTCTACAATCCAGGACCCAGAAGATCCATCTTCTCCGAAGATCATGACTGCCAAGCCCAAGGTGAAGTTCAACCCGACAGTCGAGACCTATGGCAAGAACAAGAAGAACCCACCTTGGAGGCGAGGCCAAATCAATGCATTGGAGGACGAGGTTGAGGAGATTGGGCCGGAGGGGCCGTCAGGGGATTCTGAGGAGGTTGAGAGCCGTGCAGTGAACCCTGGATGGAGTCCACCTGACCCTACTCCCGCAGAAGTTCGAGAACATGAGGCATCAGGCCATGCAGTTTTCCGGAACTGGTGCCAAGACTGTGTGAAGGCCAAGGGAGTGAGCCAACAACATCGGAGGGTGGACCACAGTGGAGACCTTCTTCCGACCATTGGCCTGGACTATTTCTACATGAATGAGGACAGGCAGGGAGATGCCAGTCGTCCTGGGCTGGTGGCTATCGACAGGGACACTGGCATGATGTTTGCAACGGCTGTGGAGAGAAAAGGGGTCATTGATCCCACGGCCCAGAAGCTGCTCACAAAGTTCATCGAGCTGCTGGGGTACAAGGAGTTGGTGATGAAGAGCGACGGCGAGAGGCCGTTGGTCAGGTTGAAGATCGAGGCAGCCAAAGCAGCCAAGGGACTTCGCAAAGCAGTGAATGAGGAGTCGCCACAAGGAGATTCGAAGGCCAATGGCATGGCTGAAGCGGCGGTCAAGGAGGTGAAGTGGCGCATTCGTGCCATCCACTTGATGCTCAACAAGAAGTTCAATGTGGAGGTGAACCAAGACCACCCCTTGATCACCTGGGTGCCGCGGTATGCGGCAGAGCAATGCAACCGCTTCAAGGTGGGCAACGATGGGCGAACACCGGAGGAGAGGAGGACCGGCAAGAAGTGGGTCAAGCCGATGCCTGTCTTTGGTGAGAAGATCCTGGTGAAGCCGGCTGGCAAGGGCAAGAGAGGAGATCCAGCCAAGATGGTCGAGGGCAGGTATGTGGGGATCCACAACAGGTTTGGATCGGTGCTGGCCATGACCAAGACAGGTGTGGTGGTTGGCACTGGCTTCCATCTTCTTCCGGAGGCCGAGAAATGGGGTGAGCTGGAGGAGGATTTGAAGGGAGCCCCATGGGATGTGGCCAACTTCGCCCTGAAGAAGGTTGAACAAATTCCCGAGCAGATGCTCGTGGTCCCTGCTGCTTCGCTACCTCAGGTCCCGGCGGAGGAGGCTGGTGACCCGGGGTTTGGCGTTGAGCAAATGCAGGATGCCCCGCAGCTGGGAGGACCAAGCGGCGGGATGGCAAGGCCAGAGGGGCCTAAGGCAAGAGCATGGCCGGTGAGGAGGGACATGCTGGCCAAGTTTGGGAAGACACCGGGCTGCGATGGGTGCCTTTCCATCGACAGGCCTGGGTTTCAACAGGTTGCCCATTCAGAGGAGTGCCGATCCCGCATCAGAGGCCGGATCGATGAGGAGAAGCAGAAGGATGCGGAGGTCAGAGCAAAGCAGGCCGCAGAGGATGAGGCAGAAGAGAGGAGAAGAGCAGACAAGAGGGAGCGCCTGGATGAGGGCGATCCCAACTTGAGGAGCGGGCCATCAGGTTCGAGAGGATCTCAACCATCCTCGAAACGCAAAGGTGGAGATGAGGGAGTCACCGACATCAACGACCTGGTGGCAGAGGCAGAGCTTGAGGAGGCTGCAGGATCAGCCCAGGCAGAAGCCGTTGAGGAGCAGATCGAGAAGGAGGTCGTCAGCACGTTGATGGACTTGGGAGCCCTGGACGTCTTGGAGGTGTTTTCACCACAGAGGATGACGAAGGGTCTGAGGAGGTTTGGACTACGTGATGGTGTGGCCATCGACATTGAGGAGATGAAGCCCAACGGAGAGGAGCGGTGGAACTTGGACCGTGCAGAGGACTACGAGCTCTTGATGGAGATGATCTACAAGGAGGAGCCGCTGCTGCTGACGGCAAGTCCGCCGTGTTCTACCTTTTCAAGGCTGAGGAATCTTAGCAACTTCAAGAGAGACCCGGAGATTGTGGCCGAGGAGGAAGAGGTTGGCAGAGGTCGTCTTCGAAAGGCTGTGGGGTGCTGCAAGATGCAGGACGATGAGGGCAGGTTCTACTTGTTCGAGCACCCCAAAGAGGCAACGTCTTGGAACGAGCCGGAGCTTGAGGAGTTGAGACAAAGGAGCACTACGTACGAGATCGTGAGCCCAATGTGCAAATTTCACATGAAGGCCGTGTGGCCTGACGGACAAGAGGGTCATGTCCGCAAGATGACCCGCTGGCTGACAAACAGCCCAGCGATTGCAGAGGAGCTGACTGGGACTTGCGCCAATGAGCTGGCTGGCAAGGAGATCCATCGGCACATCCACCTCATCGGTGGAGGGCGTGCCAAGGCTGCACAGGTCTACCCCGTGATGCTGGTGAATGCAGTGCTGCGAGGGTTGAAGAAGGAGATGCAGAATGCCAAGATGATCAACAGTTTAGAGGAGGAGTTCACTGGGCCAAGCCCGGACAACTATGTGGAGTGGGAGCATGAGGTTGCCACCCACGCTGAGGCCTACGTGGACGATGTGACTGGGGCGCCTTTGGACCCAGAGCTGGTGCAGAAAGCCCGTCAAGAGGAGTTGGACTGGCTGAGAAGAGAAGAGGTCTATGAGAGGGTGCCCAAGTCGCAATGCGAGGAGAAGGGCGCCAAGCTGCTTAAGCTGAAGTGGCTGGACATCAACAAGGGCGATGAGGCTCGACCGAAGATTAGGTCGCGCATTGTGACCAAGGAGGTCAAGAAGGCGAAGGCACCACACGAGCAGTTGAGCAATGATGCCGTGTTTGCCTCGACGCCACCTGCAGAGGCAGTTGCAACACTTTTCTCGCTCTTCATGAGTGGCAAGAGGAGGAGACGCAAAATGGGGCTCTGGGACATTTCCAGAGCACACTTCATGGGCCGAGCGGCAAGGGAGCTCTACATCGAGTTGCCGCCGGAGGACAAGCGGCATGATGATGATGAGTGCGAGATGGTGGGAATCCTGAGGAGGTCAATGTATGGGACGCAGGATGCAGCTCGCATCTTCCAGGAGGACTACCAGCAGTGGTTGAAAGAGAATGGAGCAGAGTTCAGCAAGATTTGCCCCGCTATGTACAAGTTCAAGGAGAAGGACCTGATCGGGCTGGTACACGGAGATGACTTCGTGGCTGTGGGGACTGATGAGTCTCTTATGTGGTTGGATGAGGTCCTCAACAAGAAGTACAAGGCGAGATGGGAGGCAAAGCTGGGCGATGGTGAGAAGGACGACAAGGAGGCGTTCTTTCTCAACAGGTTGATCCGCTACGTGCCGGATGGAACGGACCATGATGGAGAACGACTGGAGGTTGAAGCAGATGCAAGACACGCGGAGATCTTGATCCGCGGGTTTGGCTTCGACGAGAAGACCAAGGGTGCCGAGATCCCTGAGGAGAAGATGACGGACAAGGACGTCGTCGATGAGATGAGGCAGCCGGTGCTTGGGAGCGAGCAGACCTCGGAGTACCGGTCGATGGTGATGCGCCTGGCCTACATGTCAGTGGACAGGCCAGACCTTGCACATGCCGTGCGGATGCTGGCGACGGCAATGAAGTCACCGAAAGCTGGAGACTGGGGGCGACTGAAAAGAGTGGTGCGCTACCTGGTGAAGTACCCCTACATGAAGCGGGTCTACTTCCGGCAGAAGGAGGAGGACATCAGAGTGGTGGCCTGGTCAGACAGTGACTGGGCCGGAGACAAGAGAAGCCGCAAGAGCACAACTGGCAGTGTCATCAAGATTGGCAACCACACTGTGCTGGCAAAAGCGGCGACGCAGAAGGTGGTGGCTTTGTCGTCGGGCGAAGCCGAGTACTATGGGATGTGTAGAACTGGAACCCTGGCGACATTTGTCCAGGGGGCGCTGGAGTTCTGGGTGGAGGCCCAGAGCATCATCGAGCTCAGGGTGGATTCTACGGCAGCAAAGGCTATGGCAGAGAGAAGAGGGGTCGGACAGACCCGGCATATCCAAGCCAGATACCTTTGGCTCCAAGACCAGGTGTTCGAGAGAAAGATGGCCGTGAAGAAAACCGACGGCAAGACCAATGTGGCAGATCTCACAACGAAGGTGCAGCCGAAGGGTGTTTTGAAGGCCCATCTGAAAGGGATGGGATATTTGCAGACCACGCGCCGGGGTCATAAGGATTTGACATGATCCCTGGCCAGACTCCGCTACGCAAAGGCGTGGCTGGGGTGCGTGGTGTGATTTCACCACTTACCCCACAGGGGGTGCAAACTTGTAGGGGATTCCTACTCGTAGCCATCCAGGCACAAAAAATTGCAGCTGAGGGCTGCAGGGTACACGCCATGTTTGCATCAACTCATTGAATGTCCATTATGACTTCGCTTTGCTAGATTGTCCCCAAGTTTTGAAGTCTCAAGTCACATCGATTGAAATCTTCTCCGCGCTATCTTCTACGTTGTAGGTCCTGGCAATTCAACATGGCAAATGGCAAAAACAGAGGCGTTTTCCATAGTTTCCCAGTCAAACGATGGATTTTGTCTCCATTTTCTCGCCGCTAGAATTTTCTGCAGGTGATTTCTTCTTTTTTCCACTGGTTCCTCCATCATTATTTTAGGGAATCTGAGCATATTTTCAATTATTTTCATACATTTTCCATTTTTTGGGGGGCCATCTTGGAGCGAATCCTCCAGGATTTCTTTCCCCAGGCATTGCTGTCCATCCCCTTGGGCTCTCACATCCTGGCTCCGCTTGGGTTCCTGGCTCCCAAGCTAGTGACACGGCTGCTGAAACTGCACGGACATGAGAAGCTCAGTGGGGAAGCAAGGAAGGCCGATCTGGGATGATCTGCTTGGAAAAATGATGGGGAAAATGATGAGATCCGTGTTTTGGGACGGTTTTTTTGAGAAAATATGCCTGAAAAGAATGGAACACTGGGGTGATGGCGAAATTGAATGAACATTGAATGAACATGAGGTTGTTGAACACTGATCTTAGGGACCCTAATGAATTACATGACATTTCTCATACATTTTCGCAAAAAACCATGTGTGAATATCTTTCTTGGGATCGGGTTGCGAAGCTTGGGGTTTTCCGGCGGCCAGGTCTATGGGGAATATGGCGAGCATTTGGTGGATCAGATGGTATCTTGGACGGCCACGGCGGCGTTGATTTTGATGTGTTGGAAGATCGGGTTTTACTCCAATTCGATATGTGGGAATTACAAAAACAACGAAAGGGAAGGGGATTTTGAGAAATAAAACATAAAGCTTGAAAGTGTTGATCCTCTAAGCTTGGATGGTTGTGGAGACTGATCAAATTGGTGGCACCATCCGTTATTCTGGTTTGAATGCACTGAATATGCTGAGCAAATAGACCACCTGTTTCGCTCCGTTTTGTGAATTCCGAAGTTTGATACATGAAAGTATTGACATATGGAGAATTGCATATGGAAAACCAGCTGATTGGTTTTTGGTCATGTGGGATCTACAGGACATAAATTGGGACTTCAAAAAGCTTCTGCTTCTCTGCCAATACCAATCCCCTTGGAATGATACTGGGATACTGATGCCAATACCAATCCACCAGGGCAAAACAAATCCTCAACACTCAATTGGATACGAATATCAATTAATCAGCGATTCATTTCCCCATGCATGTTTTTTGATGGGAAAATGGTCCACAAAAAGAGATGATTGACCTCTTATTTAAATGATACACAACCATATTGCTATATTAAACTCCCAGAGGGTATACCCACATCTGCAGATATCCGGAGCTATGGGTCGATTCTCAGGAGGCAACGAGGTTTTGGACTGCGCAGCGCGCGCGGACAGATGCAGCCAGGGTCTGGAAACTGCTGGGCGTTTGGGAAGCCAACAAGTTCCTTGGCACTCGGCCAACAATCTCCCGCAACCGAACTTGGCAAGAGGAAATCCAGTTTCTTTGGAAATGTCAGGTGATTCACAGGTAAAAGGGGTGTAAAATGGGTCATGGAGTTCTTTTCTTCATCAAACATTCAGCTGGGGACAGAAATTGGACGCCCTGCCATCAAGCGTTGGCACTTTGAGTTGGCACACCAGCGGCATAAGCATCCCCAAGGGCAAGTAATGAGAGCAATAAGTGTCCATGGCTATAGGTGAACAATGGTGAACATCCATGGCTACTCATCGAATTTCATTCATAGTTTTCTACATTATTCTACATATGTATATATATCTATCTATTTTGATCAGTTTTCTACAGTTGATGGATACCATATCCCCTCAGATGATCCAGCGCCAAGGCTTTCTTTCACCAATTTCTTTGGCCGCTCAGAACAGTGTGTCTTTGAGCAAATCAGCAGGCAGGAGGTGATTATCAGCCACGAGGCGACGAAAATTGGTGGTAAGCACCAGCTGAACATGGGAATATCACCAGGAAAAATGGGTGAGAACTGAGAACTCACCAATCATTGGCTGGTGACAAAAAAGGCTGGTGGTGAAAAAAGATGTTTCATCTATGTGTAACCTGTTCCATCCTTTCAAGAAAATGGTCAGAGTCAGAGATTGATGGGGGCGTGCTATTTTTGTTGGTGGACACCATTTAGCCTCATATTGTGCATTGGTGTCATTCAACGAACATTGGAATCTGCAATTGTCTTTTGAAACAGCTAGAATCTGGCTGGTTTCGCTTTGATTGAACTTGAACTAGCGTCACTAATGATTATCGCGATGCATCATGAGAGTATCATTTCACAAGTTGTTTTAGTCATCCGAAAGCAGATAGGTTAGCCATCATCGTGTTGCATTGTGAATGATCTCGACTGCAACAACGAGTTGGTACATCATTTGGATGCCATTTTCAGGTATTTTCAGGTCATTCATCAGGGGGTTTCGCCCCTGCCCGTTGTGCCCGTTGTGCAACCGTTGTGCAACCGTTGTGCCGGTTGCCACCTGAGTGACCGGTCACGGCAGGTTGAACCATTCCTGCGAGCCCAACGTGCGGCTCCTGCCGGGCGCGTCTGGAGAACTGCAGATGATGGCAGCGGTGGACATCTCGCGAGACGAGGAGTGCCATGGGACGGACATCGGAGGATAGTAAGCCCCAAAAGGATAGGAAAAGCGTTAAAAACAGGATGGCATAAATGATACAGTATTACATAAATGATATAAACCTCAGATTTCCAAGTTTCCAACTCTTCTATCTATTTTTGGGGTTGCTGCAAATGATATGATATTCCGGAAACCCTCAAACCTAGCACTAAAAGAAATTCGAGTGAGACTGATGATGATCCAGATACATGGAGTAGGTTGCAAGTTTCTGAAGTCGCAACACTTACCAACTTTTGCTTCCACGAAACCTCTGAGGAGCTGTGTATTTGCTATCCAGAGACTTGGATTCGCTTCATCCCAGCTGGCGGGTAGCAGTTCTGACCTCATGGTGCCATTGAAAAACATCATCCCGAAGGTGCTGGGCAGTCCCAGATGTTCAACTCTTTTGAACCGCTTAAAAGCCCCCTTGGACCATAGTGTCTTGGCCAATAGTTTGTTCGGACCCGAAGTCTTTCGCTGATTTTTGGGTTTTGTGATTTCTTTCCCATGTGAATACTTTTTGGTCACCTGTGCAGTGACGTGGGGCCCTCACTATCCTTGTCAATGCCATAATCCCATAATTTTTGGGGTCAACAAAGCAGTTTTTGGGTTCCACTCCGAATCTTCATCCTCATTATTTGTCATCAATCGTTCGTGGTTTTGTAGAAATGTCCATCTTTGTGTCCGCTTATCCAAAAGTCGAGCAGGACCCAGGACCCCCAATTCTTGAAGGTAACAGCCATGGTAAATCCATTAAATCTCCATTATATCCCCATTCTTGGGTCATTCTGCATGTGTAACGGCAAAAATGTCCCCAGTTGAGTTTTCGGGTTTCCCTGTTTTTTAATCCCCAAAGATCCAGAAATTTCGAGGAGCGCAACATCCTTCCGATGCTTCACTTCCTCCTGGCCCCTACGTCTTGGCGTCGCCAATCTCTGGCGGCGGGCTGGCAGTTCTGCTGCCGCTGCCCGCGCTGCGGCTTTGGAACCGACACGACACCAGAGGCCATCCTGGTGGTGGTTGATGATCATGGTGGTGAAGCCATTTGAGCTATGGTCAATACTCATGGTTAATAACCATTAGTAGGGGCTAGTCATCCAATGGTTCATAGGGATTTATAATAACCATTATAAGGATCCTTATTATGGATGGGATGACCATCAACCATATAGTGAGTATTGACCATAGCTCATTTGGGGATGGTTTAGCCATAGATTTTGGGATATTTTGGGGATGGTTTATGAAATTGGGTTTACAATGATTACCATTTTACAGCGATATTGTGTCGGAATATCAGAGGTGTATCACTGGGGTACGATGGCTGGGGATATATGATATGTGAATATATGTGATAAATCATGAGATATGCTGGGATATTTTCTGGGAGTATCAGGGGATATGTGTATAATTACATATAGATGACCTACAAAAGTTGGATATTTATAGGTTGAAATCCATCAAAACTGGAATCCAAACATCTGGATTCAATAAGTCAGAATAATTCCAACCTTCAATATTAAAGACACCTCAGAAGCCATGGTGGATGTAGGGGATAAGGTCGATAAAGTCACATATTTGGGACCATAGACTGGGAGTGTTGAATGAACGCGGGATCGGATTGCCGCCAATAAGAGTAAATAGTTACCCTCTGGTAAACTAACGTAACTATGGAAAATCACCATTTTTAATGGGTAAATCCACTATAAATGGCCATTTTCAATAGCTATGTTAGTTTACCAGAGGGTAATGAGTTGACATCCATCATTGACATTTTTGAATGCGGATGAATCCTGTTCCCTCAAAGATACAAATTGGGAATGAAATGGGACAAACATGATTGATTTGTGGAAATTGATGCGCTGCTGTTCATCCTAACCCCCTTGTGGGGGGTGATTATCCTCTCCCAGGTTGGATAAAAGCATGACAAAAACAGTAACTATGCTGAGGCTAGCCATACTAAGGAAGGCTAGCCATACTAAGGAAGGCTAGTGCTATGCCCCACTTCATTGAGCTTGGCTTGACCCTTGACCAATGGCTGCTGAGTCCTTGAATCGTCGCCTGGGTCCGGCATTTCGACCCAGGGCTACCTCTGATGGTTTCATGGGGGACCAAAGCCCCCCAAAATACCCTCTGGTTATGTCAAAATAGCTATTGAAAATGACCATTTATAGTGGATTTTCCTATAAAAATGGTGATTTTCCATAGTTATGTTAGTTTACCAGAGGGTAACCCCCAACAATTCATGGTGAGTTAATCCCCATGGTTGATTTTACACCTAGGCTGTGTGCGAAGAGCAGTTGGAGGAGGTCCAGACTGCCAGGGTGACAACCATGTGATCGAATAGCTGAGAAATCCCCAAGAAATGGAGGTCCATGGCTGGGAATATCATCGATAAATGAGAAGATTTTCCATTGCCATGTTTTATTACCAAAGGGTAAGTGGTTGTCGTTGTGGCTTAAGATTTATGAAGGATACAGAGGTTCGTTTTCTAAAAAGTTCGGCCTTAGACTCAAAAAATACAACTGGTGGCAGTGGAGAATGCCACACGATGAGATTTGCAGCTTGATTGCGGCCTCGAAGGAATTTCTTGTGATGCACACCCCACTTGTGTCTTTCTGATAGGCCCTCTGCTGTTCTCATCCCGCGGTGCACAAGTTGTGTAGAGAGCGATCTACACTTTTTGGTTGAAACAGAGTGTAGTGGAATCCTCCAGCTCAATCGCTTACCCTCTGGTAAACTAACATAGCTATGGAAAATCACCATTTTTATTCGGAAAACTCACTATAAATGGCCATTTTCAATAGCTATTTTGACATAACCAGAGGGTAATCCAACTAGATGGTTTTTTATCCTATCATTCTCCCATGATCCCTAAAAAAATGATTTGGTCGCAGCTGCGTTGATAACTTCCTGTCTGCTGCCAGGAGGCGAGGGCTTTAGTAGGGGCCTTGGAACCAGAGACTGGACAGAGTTGGAAATCTAACGTCAAAGCCTAAACTGCTCTGAAACATCTTTGGCTGGGGGCTTCCGAAATTCTCAAGACTTGGATCTTGGATAAGAGAATCCATGATTCATCGAATTGGATGATGGGCAAATTTACAGGAAACCCCTATATTTGATGGTAAAAACCATGGTTTCCTGTAGATTTTCCCTTAAACCAATCCATTGAATGATCACTTTTCTTACATCTTTAAGTTTCCTGAACATATCTCTTTCGAGGTGCCGCAGCTGCAGGCTGCCAGCAGCATTGAGGATTTCCCACTGGCTGCAGTGCTGCAGCTACTGGGGAAGTGCCAAACAGCAGGCAGGGGGACCTCAACCACTCGCCATGCCATGAGATGTTGTGGTTCAACTCCTCATTGTATCCATCATTTCGTCGGTTGAAACCAAAAGCAAATGGACTATTCTGGAGGTTCCGCCCCTTGCCCCGTTTTGGGTTAAGTTCCCCCCAAAAGAACATGTATAGATTATTCAATACTTTTCAACAACGGATTTCAATAGAAGTACACGTAATACATTTGTAAATCATTCCATTCCCCATACAATGTGGGGCCCCATAGCTAAGTTGGTGAACATAACTACAATTTCAGGTTTGGGTGTATGGTAGTTATAACCATAGTTAGATGGGGTGTCATAAACCAACATTGTACTAAACCATACTAAACAGCCCAACACTAAACAGCCCAACAAAAATATCCATCCCATCCGACAGGACTTGGTGCAGATCACTGGCTGCACTTTTGGCTCCTAAGCCTTTGCTCCATCGCCGATCGCAGTCGGCCACTGCATGTGGCGGCGCTGGGCTTGGCACGGGCGACTGCGCCAGCTTGGCTGAAAATGTTGGTGAAAGGGGGAAAATTTGATGCTATCTGGGTGGTTGGATGATTAGTAGTGGCGTTTTGTAGTGGTTTTATGGGACTTTAGTTGCTAATAACCATTGGAGAAATGGGAAAATTGAAAGCCACCACATTTTGAGGATTTTACTTGCGAGATTGCGTGGTAATTACGACGCATCAACCTGAACTTAGCGACCTCACATCGACCTCGCCGTAAAAGGTCATTTGGTAAGATCCTCTAGAGATCAACCAGCCTTGGGGCGTACACCAAATGTGGGATGGAACGGGGTCACCTGCAGTCCTGCAGTTGTTTATTTTCTTTGCAGGAACTTCATCGTGATCAGGTCAGACACAACATACGCGTGCATTCTACTATATTCAATTTTTTTCGAGATAGAACAGCAAAGTCTGGGTTTGTTTGAGAATAGGGTGCCCCACAATTTGATGGTTTACTGTAATCATCATCTTCGGAAATCCAATTGCCATGACTTGGGCTACTCATCATTTTCAAACAGACCCAAATCACATAAATATGGTTGAAACCCATTATACCCCCACAAACTATCCTTATTGAGGTTTTAAAACCATTTATATAGTGGCGGATAAGATAGCTTATTGAACATCTCCAACAGAAACAGCGACCAAGGCTGACCATCCGCCCCTTAAGCCTTTCGCAGCTGCGCTCGCACTGCGCCGATGCTGGCGTGGAGTGGGCAGCGCTGGAAGGTGCCATTTGTGGGTTAGCATACATGGTTTTTGAGATATTTTTCAGAAGTGATATCAGTGATATCTCAAAAAATCAGAACCAAAATCAGTGGAAGATACCCTCTGGTAAACTAACATAGCTATGGAAAATCACAATTTTTAATGGCTGGGTAAATCAACTATAAATGGCCATTTCCAATAGCTACGTTAAATTACCAGAGGGTAAACCTTCAATGCCATGGAATCTGCTGGTGTTGTTCTTCTTCTCATGGCCCCAGATAGATCTCCAGCGGTGAATCCACGGTGATGCCAACCAGACATGAATTGAAATTTTTGTGGCTAAAAAAGGCGGGGAAAGTGCCAAAATTGTTAGCTAAACTCCAATGGATTATCAATGGATTATCATGGCTGGGTTTAACAATGGCTAAAATCCAATGGATGGAATCATCTTCCATTGTGAAAAACTGGCAACGAATTGGGGGGTTCAACGAATAACATCTTCATAGATTTTCAGAGTCGCACCCAAATATCATATAGTGAATATAGTGTTGCTGATATATCCCATTGCAAACAATATGCCGCAGAATTTTGCCCCATGACATCCCCAATATGGTTGGTTTTATACCCCTAATGTTCAGAGGGTCTCCTCCAGGGCAGTGGTTGCGCCCTGGTGTGACGACACGTTTGGCCGCCTATCTGGCCTTCGAGGTCCAGGAAAAATGGTAAGAACTGGGGATGAAACATGATGAAACCACACAGGAAAAACACGAAAGCAGGGAAGGGAACCAAGAATGAGGGCATCAAAACGGTCGAAACAAATGATCCAAACATGGAGAGACATGGGAAGCTGATGCCAAGATGCCACAAACGCTGCCAATCACAAACTCAGGGGTTGCCATGTGGGGTGGAAAACGGCCCAAAGTGAGTCTGCCGAACCTGGCATTAAATAGTCTGCGATTGGCCCAAAGAAGTAATCTTTGAGGGTGATAAGCAGCGGGTAATGACCAGAGGCCGAGTTTAATTATGGCTTTGAACCATTGTACAGAAGCCTGACCAGTCGTCGGCCACGGATCAAGCCATTTGCAAGCAATCATGCCCGGACGCCAGTGTCCGTGACCAATAAGTTCCGTCAACTGTGTATGTTGATCATAGTGTTTTCTCAATCCATGCGGCTGGGGGAAGCCGCCAATCCTGGCCCTAATGAGCTTGTTCTAGGCAACATGAATCCCACCGGGCTGATGGGCAAGGCTCGTGACTTGTCCGCTTTGCCGAAAGGACTGTACGCAGTCCAGGAAACCCACCTGACGGCCCAGGGTATTCCAAAGTTTAAGCAAGAACTCACATGGGCAAAATCTGGGTATCACCTCACCCACGGAATGCCAGCACCACCAAAGAACGCTTCCATTCGAACGATAGGGGGCAAGCACACTGGGGTAGCTTATCTCAGTCCATATCCATGCAGGAGTTTGGTCCACACATGGACTCCTGAACAATTTGTGCCACGACACCGAAGTGGCAGGGGGAGTGATTGACATCGTGAAATGTTTCAACATGTTGCCGCAACAGCCCCTTTTGGAAATTGCCAGCCACCTGGGCATTCCCAGTGAAGTCATGCAGCCTTGGCACGCTGCATTACGGCAGCTTCAAAGAAGGTTCCAGGTCCAGGGCTGCGTAGGCCGTTCCTTGACAAGCTCTTGTGGTTTCGCAGAGGGTGATGCCATGTCAGTTGTAGCAATGGCAGTGTGTAATGTGGTTTGTGACATGTGGATGTACTTCCGTTACCCATCTGTACGAGTTTGGTCCTTTGTGGACAACATTGAAAACTGTTGCCCAGTCAGCCCAGGATGCCATCAACTCCGTCCGAGCACTGGAGGAATTTTGTTCACTTTTGGACTTAGAGACTGATCCTGCTAAGACCTTCTGTTGGTCCACATCCTCTTCGGGCCGAAAATTAATCTTGGAACATGACCAAAACCGTAAATACTTTGCACGTGACTTGGGTGGCCATATGAATTACTCCAAACTCCGAACCAATGCCTCAGTTCAAGACAAATCAAGGCACTGACCCCATTCTGGAGCCGGATGGCAAGATCTGCAGCGCCTATTACTCAAAAACAGCGAGCCCTGTATGTGTCAGCATGGCCCAATATTTTTTATGGCATTTGCACTGTGACCTTAGGTTCTTGCCATTTCCAGAAACTTCGAACGCTTGCTGTCAAAGCTATGAACCTCACGCAGAACGGCGTGAACCCTGACCTACAGTTGTCTTGTGTTTGCCCACCACTTGCGGACCCTGAGTTTTATAGCCTCTTGTCCACTGTTATGGCGTTTAGGGAACACCACAGTCCTGATTTGTCTCAGTTTACACTGCACCACCTTGCGAATGGACGGACATTTTCCCAGGGGCCATGTAACAGTTTCCTCCATGCCATTCACAAAATTGCATGGAGTTGGACTCATGCTGATGAATGCAGTGACCAAAATGGACACCCAGTTTTTATATGTCGAAGTTCCAAAACAGAATTGCGCCAACGATTGATGCAAGCATGGCAGGACCGAATCTTGCACCAGACCCAAGAGCTGCGGCACACCATGCAAGGGTTGGCTGATGCTGATGTGCGACGTACACTTCAAGCCTACCATGCATTACCACAGGAACACCAAGGTCTGATGCGATGCTGCCTAAACGGTACGCAGTTTACAAATGACGTTTTGCACAAGGCGGGCATTACGGATACTGACTGTTGCAAGTTTTGCGGCCAGACTGACAGCCAGCTCCACAGACATTGGGAGTGCCCTTTCTTTGCTGATTTACGCCCAGAGAATGTAATTCACTGCAAAGAGCAGATGCCTTTGAGCTTCCTATGCCATGGCTGGTTGCCACGGACATCAGCCGCCGTTGACCTCGTTAGCCATTTGTTTCATTTGCCTGACACCACAACAGAATTTTTCCACGCACCAAATCCCGTGCAACTGCGCTTTTTAGATCTGTTTTTGGATGGGAGCTGCATCATGCCTGCAGTTTCAGAATGCAGACTGGCGTCCTGGGGCTTTGTTCAATGGACCGGTGAAGAATTCTGGCCAGTCGCAAATGGAGCAGTGCCAGGCTGGCGACAAACCAGCTTGAGAGGTGAACTTACAGCGGCGATTTCGGCACTTAAATTTGTCACTTTCAAGGAGCAACCCTCACGATTGTGGTTTGACAATTCCAACGTTCAAGACACGTTACACCACTGGCTTCAAGGGGTTGACACAGATTGGAGGGATAAGACAGATCAAGACCTCTGGCAACACTTGCATGATCAGTTTCAACATGCTAGGCCTTTTTTGACTGCAGTTTATAAAGTTCAAGCACACGCTGACCCGGCATGCCAGGACACAGCGCTGGATGAGTGGACAGTTTTGGGAAACATAGCGGCAGATTGGTGCGCGCGCAGTGCACGTCTCCATTTCCCAAGGTGTTTGTGGGACGCTTGGGAAGCCACTGTTAACCATGTTGCTCATTCAAATCAGCTTGGCCTCAAGGTACACCAAATGTTTGTACAGATTGCTTTGCGTGCGCGTAACTGTACTCTTGCAGATGAACCCTTACCACCGAAGGGAATTTCCATGGACACACCCACAGCCACTGTTGATGCGGGACTTCTGGCGCTGGCCAAGTGCACGGAGTCCGACTTGCCAGCCAAGTTGCAGACTGCAGAAACTCCACATGTTTTGCAGTGGATCCGTAACCTTCTAGCGAATGACCATGCAGTCATTTGGGTGACTTTCCACCAATTGTTGCTCAGCTACCAAGGAGGTACGGGTCGACTTGGACCGTACACCACTGGACGTTTATGGACCGAACGACCTCTGGATTCCATGTATGAATATAAGCAACAGGTACAGTGGTTTGTCAGGTTTTTGATGAGTTTAGCCAAAGCCGTAGGTGCTGCATTAGAAGTTGATCAGCGACGTCCTTCATCACATGTGCTGACATTTTGGTGCGGCTGCCTGCAAGTGCCCATGGCTGCAACAGAACTGGCTGCCATTGATGACTTCTACAAAGAGCATGCCACCAATCTACCTGCGAGACAGATTGGTCGCGACCTTGGTAAGGTGCCTCCGCGTGGTTTCGTGAATTGAGGTGGTTTCACTGGGCGAGCAATCGACTCCGTCCTCAGAGCGATTGCTTCCGATGAAAGAGAGAAAGAGAGAATTTTGCCCCATGACATCCCCAATATGGTTGGTTTTATACCCCTAATGTTCAGAGGGTCTCCTCCAGGGCAGTGGTTGCGCCCTGGTGTGACGACACGTTTGGCCGCCTATCTGGCCTTCGGGGTCCAGGAAAAATGGTAAGAACTGGGGATGAAACATGATGAAACCACACAGGAAAAACACGAAAGCAGGGAAGGGAACCAAGAATGAGGGCATCAAAACGGTCGAAACAAATGATCCAAACATGGAGAGACATGGGAAGCTGATGCCAAGATGCCACAAACGCTGCCAATCACAAACTCAGGGGTTGCCATGTGGGGTGGAAAACGGCCCAAAGTGAGTCTGCCGAACCTGGCATTAAATAGTCTGCGATTGGCCCAAAGAAGTAATCTTTGAGGGTGATAAGCAGCGGGTAATGGATCTCGGCCCAGTCGCAGCCGATTCACTACCTTTTGGACCAATGTGCGACTCTGTGACTTGTCTTTTCTGCAGGTGTCTACATTCTTGAAGATTGTGTTGGAAGCAATGTGATTAAGTTCCAGTAAACTTCACTTAATTTTCCTTCTCTAATCAGATCGGAATTGGCACTTCGACGTGAGTATCCAAGCTTTGGCTCATGCCGTTTGAGGTGAGTGACAGATCGCGAAAAACCCTCATGTCGGTGACATCACGGTGAGGTATTTCCTAGTTCAACCGATGGGATCATCAATAGAAGTCACCGATGAAGCCCCAAGAGTAGCATTTTCCAACCAAATCCTCCAAAGCCATGCCTTGGATTCCCGAGTTTTCAGAGGCATAAACCATCAACCTGACGTTTCATTGCTGGGGGAATCCCCCAACTTCAGCGTTTTTGCTGCGACTGGGCCACGCCTATGTCCCTTTGCTCTCCTTGTGCCCTTCGTTCGCTTCGAGCCTTGCAACCGCAGGAGGGGCAGGGGAGGTGGTGATAAATGGCCCAGTGGATTCTAAACAGCACCTGAAAAGGTGGTCTAGGATATGACATGGTGCTTGAGCGATGTGTAAATGAGGCATTTCGACCAAGTTCAAACGACTGCTCTGCTTGAAACTTGACCCAACCTCAACTCCACTTGTCCTTTGGGTAATGCTGCCTGGCAACCTGAAATCCATGTTCTTCACGGTAATTGATTGGATAGAACCGGTGCTCAGGTTGGAATCCCATTGGGTAGTGATTCTTGGAAGTCCCCCAATTTTGCTGCCCCAAGTGAAGGACAAGCGCGACCGATCAACTTGGGATTTCTGGAGCATCGGAACTTTGTAGATTCAGATGCTTTATGATTCAAAACTGAGGACCCCAATCTTTCACAAAAATCATCTATTTCCTGCAGAACACTTAAATTGTACGGTTGTGATCCATGCCTACTGCGATGGGCCTTGCTGTTTCGAATGTGGGGAGAGTTGTCGACCGATGATTGCGGACTGCAGGGCCCGTTATTGCCTGTTTAGTGGCATATACTTTGACACGAATGGCCTCATATGGCACAGTATCTTGTATTTTGGGGGCATCACTGACTCAACAGAAAGGCCCATCCCACTGTTCACGTTGCTGTTTTCAGAGGACATCATTACCCAAGAAGCTATTTACCCTCTGGTAAACTGTTACATAATTATGGAAAATCACCATGTTCAATGGGAAAATCCACTATTTCTATGGCCATGGCTTAGCTATTTTGACATAACCAGAGGGTAGATGTTCACCTTCCCTCCTAGATCCACCTGTGGCCAAGCTTCCTGACTTCCAACCGCGAGGTGTCTTTGCGGTCTCGCAGCCTCATGCCTGCGGTGGGGGATGTTTCCGGGGCTGGGTTCGAGGTCATACATATATACATATATCTATATGTTTTATTAATATTTATAATATTATTAGTAGGATTGTTGTTATGTTTATTTATTATCATTAGTTGTTTTATTAATAATTATTATTCTTAATTATCATTAATTGTAAGTAGGATTACCACCATTATTATTGCTATCGTTGCTATTATTATTATTATCATTATTATTATTATTATAAATGTTATCATTATATCATCCATGTATGCGTATGTATATATATATACATCCATATATGCATGTATTGCCGGTTGCAATAAATTTAACACCTGTATCTTGTGTACGCCATACTTCCTGGCTGGTGAAGGAATCCACCGCACAATTTTACGCAGTTCAAGTTCTTCATCTAAACATCCAACCTGGTGGTAATCCAAGCTGGTTTGGTGGGTAAATGGGAATCCTGCATATATATATACATATACATATACATATTTAAATCATCTGCGGGTGATGGGAATTTCCATTACTTTGGTAGATATTGACCATTTTCGACCAACGTTCGAGTTGCTTGTTTTTGTCCCTTTCACATTGGTGTCTCCATGAAGAATTGAACCACCAGATGGGTCTGTGTCAAAATCTAACCCCAAGACATCTCCAAGTAAGGTACGAACATGATTCAGGTAGCAGGCAGCTCCTTTAATCTCTTGCCCAAAAAACAATCTATTTCCCCAACCCACCATCCCCACCCCCATGTGTTGGGTCAGGCATCCAGAGAATTCAGATCCTCTTGCTTTGCCAGTCTTGGCCTGAGTGGAGGTTTCCCAACATGCCAATTTTCTATGGGGAACAGATAGAAAGATATGGAAAACGATGGGAAAGTATAGGAACATATGGGAACATGATGATATAATCAATGGATAGAATGGGGGAACCCCCCATAGTTTTCAGGTACTACAAAAACTCAACCATGGTTTATTCAGATTAGTTGGGCCCAACTTGGGATCTGCAGCATGTCAAGCTTTAGCAAAAATGCTTGGAGGAATGGAAACAAATTGATTTCATGTTTCCCGGACCGCAAGTTCACTATGTTGGGAAGGACCGGTGGATTTCAGTTCATATCATCATAGTGGAAGATTCTTGGATCCTGAATCCTGATCAGAATTTCACCAAGATGGCCCATTTTCAAGCCCCATTTTCAAGCCCCATGTTGAGGCCTGTGTTGCATCCGGATCTTCCAAAAAATGCGACAGACCGTCGCCCGAAGCAGTCTGGGGCTTAAGCTCCATATCTGCTGATGCTGATGTGTGGGGAACTGGTTCAGCCAACATGTTTCAGCTGGTAATTTTTCTCCCATAGATAGCAGCATACATGACACCCCAGCGGATTTTTTTTCCGACATTTCTTCCAGGGGTTGTTGCAGATTGCATCCATCTGAGGCAACAAAATCCTTTGTGATTCATAAGTTTCCTAGTTGAGATGGAAGAGAATGGAGTTTTTCCAGTGTCCAGCGTCCCAATTGAGGTTCTGCTGATCGACTCGCACAGGCGGGGTTTCAGGAAGATGCAAAAAGGTCACCAAATCACAAGGGTGCGGCGATTGACCTGAAATCCCTGAAATCATAAAAAAAACAGACATTAACCATTATTGACCTAGTTAATCTATAGATTAACCATAGATTAACCATTGTTTTATAAGCGGTTCACTATAATTCAAATCATAGTTTCACCTGATGCAGAATGTAATGAGAGCACTGATTTGACCAACAGAAACTGCTGGTCGTCTCTTGTTTCCCAATTGGGGAGGCCAAAGGCTCAACAGAAGCACCTTGAGATCTCAGCGTCCGTTTGACTTTCACAAACACCTCTAAATATCATTAAGTATCATTTCATTATATATATATACACATAATATATATATATATATCATTCTATATCACCCCAAACCGTGAAAATCCTACAGCTATTCTCATCTGGAATCATGATCCCGACAGACTTTCCAGGCTTCTTCCAGTAGCGAGAGGTGGGTCTTCACCAGGGTTGGTGGTCCTGGTTTTTGTATCGTTGCAACTGGTCGGTGTCAAAGGATGACATAGGATATCCATGGGATATCCATGGGATATCCATGGATATCCAATATGTTATGTTATGTAACCCAATATATAAATATTATACAGATCTTATTGTTGGTGACATTCATGGATATTTTTTTAATCATATTTTTCTGGGATATCATTTTTTAATGGTGATTCAACGAAGAATGGATCAATCCATGAAAAGAGGCATGGAAAAATCCAATGCCCTGGGATGGATGGTAGAAAAACCATGGATGACACTAATCTGGGATTTATATATATATATACATATATATATATATACATATATATATACATATATATATATATACATATATATATATATACATATATATATATACATATATATATACCCTCTGGTTATTTAACATAGCCATGGTATAGCTGGCCCATTTATAGATGGTTTACCGAACTTAAAAATGGTGATTTTCCATGGCTATGTTAAATAACCAGATGGTATATACCCTGGATATCCAAAGATATCCCCTCAAAAAAAAGACAGAAACAAAAAAAGCGGCTTCCTTGCAGCATGGATGTTTAATCGATCTTTGATTCTTCAGTACCTTTTCTTCAGAGCTCTCAGTACCCCAAAGCCTTGGTTTTGAAAATCAAACAGCGCAGGTCCTCGACCCAGAAGCTGTTCGAGGTGCTGTGTGATGTATTCGCAAGATGCGGTGCTGTGAGCCAGACATATTAAATCGTTGTGTATGTGTACATGAGTATACACGGATATAGATATTGATATTCATATTAATATTAATATATATATATATTAGTGAATTACAGTACAGATATTGAGCCAGAAATATTTGTAAGCATACGTCTATCACCACGCATATATACCATGTACACTGGAGGTGAGCCCAACCATAGCTTTTGGCTCACGGGGCGTGCGAAGCGCGAAGCATGGATGGCATGTGGCGAAGCCAAGTGGGTCAATATTGGAGGAACAAAAAATTAATCATGGTGGATAATCAATATTAATCTACTATTAATCATTATTAAGCATCAATATTAGTGGGTACCAACCGGCAATCCGGTTTGACTTTGAGGATAGATATTTCATGGGGGAATTGGGTGGTGATCGGAGTTTCTTGGCACCGACACGTGCTTGACCACTTTTGGGATGTTGAAACCCTCGAGTTTTCACTGCTGGACTCTTGACATGACCTAAACATGACAAAAACGCTAAGAGATGTGTCTTTGGGGTCTCGAAAGGAGCCTCTGCGTGGCCGTGCGAGACCAACTGTGCTACAGGACTTTTTCCCTCCTCTCCTGTCTCTCTCTCTCTCTCTATCTTTTTTTTCCTCTCTCTCTCTCTCTCTCGCTGCCTCTATCTCTCTACATCCACTTCAAAAACGAGATGTGATTCCAGCTTTCTATATGTACATAAATGTACTGTACAGGCATATCTAAATCTATTGCAGTAGGTCCCTCCGCATCAGCCCCAGGTGGGCAGGAGCGCTGCGCCAACAAGGAGGCAGGATTGAAAAAATCGCCTAGTGAGGTACCCGCCCGGGTTTTGAACTGGTAACCCTTTACCACAGTCTCAACTCTGGATCGATCAATTTCCGGAGGGTCTCAATTTTTTGGATCCTCAAATCAGCCAGCGTTGATCCTGACGCTGGACAGGGCCAATGGCTCCAGCAGTGGTTGAAAAGAGGTGGCTGGGCTTTTTTCATCCCTCGAAAATCAAGGGCAAATGAGCCAATTTGGGGTCGCATTCATGAGTTCAACGTAGTTCAACGAGTTCCTAAAAGGTTTTTTGGCACCCTGTTTTTGACGCCCTGGTTTTTTTCGACCGTGACTCAGCAAAGGCAGGTGATTGAATTTTCCAAGGGGACCTCCCAAGTAGTGCGGGCCTGCGGGGGGCTATATCTGCTGAGGCTTCATAGGATTTGTGTGACCTAGACATGTGCAAGCAGACTTTCATATCTGTGTAGCATTGTAAAGGATGAAAATTGTGACCATCATCGCAAGATTCGCAATATCATTCGATGGTTCACCAAGTTGATTTCACCAGATCTGACATGGCGGGCCGTGTTTTTTTTTCTGAGGTCCACGGAACAGACTTGTGCTTCCAGTGGTGACAGTGACTTGGCTCTTTTTTTTGGGCGAAAAAATGTGGGCGATTTCTTTCGCAAAAGCCAAGTCACCGTTGGTCGCCATTGCTGAGATCTCTGCCCTGATCCTGAGAGTGATAAGGCTGATAAGGTCACCGAAGTTGGGTGGGTGGGACGGTGGGACCACAGGAACATACAGGAACTGGAACTGGATGGAACTGGTGTAATTGAAGGCTTCCAGGACATGTTTCCATTTTGAGTTCTAGTTGATAATCTTAGGGACAAATCACTCAGCTTGCTGCTTTGTATGTCCAGAATGTTGTTTTTTTTTTTTTAATCTCTTTTTTTCGCGGGTTGATTTACCACATTTTACCACTATGTATCATAGCTGCCATAGCTCTGTTTATGGTGGCAGATCTCAAACACTTTGCAGCGCTGGTTTCCTGTTGGATCGACTGCAGGGATTGCTGAGCGCTCACATCCCTGAATTCATGTTGCCACCACATGGATGTGGTTTATAATCACCTGCAATGGTAAAATTGAGGGTTTGGTTGTTGATGATTGGGATCAACATATTACCATTGTTGGATTAGCATGTGTGCATTACTAGCAAAGAACGTACAGTAGTATCCATGGATTCATGTCCTTGATGGTTTGCTCATCATCACCACCTGCCTGAAACAACCTCCGAACTCCGAATTCCAGAGACCGTTCTAAAACGACTTAAACACTTTTCAAGATGAGTTAAGCATATTGAACACCCCCGCCTGTTATATCCCAATATATTATCCCATCAATATCGTAACATTATCTTGGTGTCAGATATCCAACTATATACGTATATATATATGCATACTATATAGTGACACACACACATATATATATAGAGAGAGAGAGATGTATATAACCTTTTATTGAGACACATATGCCAACATAAAAGTATATTGGAATCGATGCCGTTGGTGGCTTCCCGCAGGAATCGCATTTGCGTGGGCTTCAGCGTGTAGTGTTGGAGGTCGGACTGTGGATCAACATCCCCTAATAGCGATTAGTGATTGATGGGATTATAATGGGATGATAAAAAAGGATCATAATAATCCCATCAATAGATATTAAAATGGGATATATATATATCCCACTATTAATATCCCACTATTGATGGGGATCTATTATATAGTGGGATATTAATAGATAGATCCCCTCCAGTCAAACAAGGCTGGGAAATCCACTGAGGCTGGAGGATTTTCCAGGCCAGATTTGACTACGAGGGTTAATCCAACATGGCAAGCCACTCACAAAAAATGCGATTTTTGTTGCTGATTTGCACAGACATTTTTTAATCCCGGGTTTACATCCCTGTTGTTTCTTGATACCGGGTTTATCTCCATGTGACTGTTGGATGTTCAGTATTCTCAACTGCAATCCGCCAGGTTCGGCAAGTCCTCCGCGAGGACAAGAGAATGGGAAGAGTGGGCTGGTTGTGTTTCTGGAAAATGGGGGGTTTCTTAAGATCCCCAGAAAATTTCAAGTCATTGGACCAGTGACGAGAAACCCATTGTGACTTTGGGATCCCCAATCTTTGTTTCCACCTCCAAATAAGTGGAAACAGAGATGATGGGGATATGGCCAGTGACGAGAAATAAGGATGGGTGATAGAACCAGCAACAGAACCTGCGGCCGATGAAAAATGGGGGTTTCATCAACAGTGGGAATTCAAACAATTAACCTTGGCAAGACAGCATCATTCATGGGAGATATACCCTCTGGTAAACTAACATAGCTATTGAAAATGGCCATTTATAGTTGATTTACCCATTAAAAATTGTGGTTTTCCATAGTTATGTTAGTTTACCAGAAGGTAGTCTGCAATATTGGGATATGCCTCCCAACGATCTCTGACTTTGGAGATTCCCATTTCTGTCACAATGAGATTCCCATAAAGCCGTTCAATTCCAATCATTTCCCGTTCTCATCCATGATTCCCATTCTCATCATTCTCATCATCATAAAAAATCCTTATTTCCCCAATTTATTGAACTATTCCTCATGAAATCCTTAAATCCCAGAATCGCTTCCTGGCGAGGAGTTGGAAAGCCGCCTGCGTCGGGTCATGACCGAGGAGATGTTGCCCCTGCGCTTGGACCTGGTGCAGAGGCTGGATGGATAGCGGGTTGTGAAGAATAGGGATCTCATGGTTACCCTCTGGTAAACATACAAAAAGCTATTGAAAATGGCCATAGAAATAGTGGATTTAGCCATTAATAGCATGGTGATGTTCCATAGCTATGTGGCTGTTTACCAGAGGGTATATGGTGGTAAAATCAATGGGGATCACAGAAATGATGAGGAAATGATGAGGAAATGGTGAACACATCTAGAAATGGACAACCAAAGATGGTGTTCCAACAGAAAATGTGGTGCCCCTTTTTTCCAGCATAATCCTATCCACTGTGCATATTACATGCCCCAGAAACCATATTGGATGTAGGGGATGAAACCACATATTTGGGACCATGCGAAGGGTGTGTTTGATATTGGGGAGATGGAAGAGTTAGCTAAGGTGGTGAACATAGGTAGGTAAACTAGGGGTTATGGTGATGATAACTATAGTTAGATGGGTAAGTTAGGAACCAACCCATATCATCTTATAACTAGGGGCCACCACCGCTGTAGGGTGGTATTTCATTTGGTATTTCTTACCAAAATTTGTGGGAAGATTGATCCAAGGAATGAATGGCCTCAACAAAAATCAATGTTTTTGGAATCGCTCAACCACCATCGAGTAGGGTTCATTGGTTCATCCTAATGTTCAGCTATAAATTCATCCCTCCCAAGGAATTCTTCCATTTTTCCAGAGCTATGTTTTCCATGTTTTTATGGGTTGAAGATGGGTTGAAGATGGGTTGAAGATGGGTTGAAGATGGGTTGAAGATGGGTTGAAGATGGGTTGAAGATGGGTTGAATATCGCCAGCAACCAAAAGAGGCAGCAGCAAGTGCAGCAGATGCAGCTCCAAGAGCATCTCCGTGCTGTTTGGAACTCAGTGCTGGTCCTTTCAGTGGAGGCATACTGGGCAGGGCCTGGGGCCCAGTGTGAGTCAACCAGCCAAAAAATGTCGGACAATGGGAAAAAATGCAAGATAATGCAGGGAAAATGTGTTTTTTTGTGAAGAAGGCTTGGGAAGTCTGGGTACCCTTGAACTTCAAAGCCTTGAGCGTCGCCCAGTGGCAGACCGCTTGACAGCGGAATCTCACCCAGGGCCAATGTTCTTTTGATCCGCAAGCGAAACAGCTGACCTCAGAACGAAATCTGAAGAATGTGGCATAAGGTCCATCATAAGGTCTGGTAATTTAACATAGCTATTATTTTCAATGGTGATTTTCCCATCAGTTATGTAAACGTTTACCAGAGGATAAGGTCTGCATCCAACAGACATGGTGTGTTTCAACTGGGAGTTCATGGGATCCACACATTGCTGCGTGTCGAGCCGCGGCCTTTGCGTGGCTCAAGATGTGACGTTCGGATGACGGAGAACAGGCACTGCTTCCGAGATTGGAAAGTCATCTAAACGGCAACTGTGAACTTTTGGAATGTTTATATATGTTTATTGCATATTTGATTGCAATTGACCGAAGGGCAAATCTGTTTTCTTTCTCATCGCATTCAGCCATTCAATTTGGTGGAGAATGTCAAGGCATATGTAGCCAGGGATTCATGGATCACATCATCCAAGTCATTGACATATCTGCTTTGGTGTGTTGCCGTGGCTCCTAATTTGAGAAAATGCCAGGAATGAACTTAATTGCATGTACACGCATATGATCAGAGATAGTCTAAAGATACAAGATCATCATAATTCTGAACCCGAACTCTTCAGATTCCCTTGAGTGGCAGTCTCTGCCGCGACAGGACCGTCAGCGAGGGGGAAGTAGTAAGGAAAATCCTGGCCACAGACCCAGTCATCTGCGCCTGGATTTTCTGTGACGTCGCCATGTTTTGGAATCCTCCTGGATTGCTCGATTGCTCCTCCTGGTTCCTTTGCTTGTCACCAAGGATAATGCTCTATCAGGGGTGCCCCTGCCAATCTCATGGGAGGCGCGCGTTTTGTAGTGGCGCGCACTGGATGTGGTGCCAAAGGTCCAAAGGTCCAAAGGTCCAAATGAGGAGTCGCAGGGACTTTGGCCCATCTCAGGTGATCGAAAGCGAAGGATCTCCGCCATTTTTCAACAACAAAACCACGGGCGAGACCACCTGGGATCATCCGCAGGGAGCCCAGAGGGGTCCCAGAGAGGTCCCAGTGTCGCTTTGGCCATTGCCCAATGGCTCCTAGCATCCCCTGTTTTTCAAGTGCTGAGGTTGCATGAGCATCTTGAAGAACTATCAGCTACTGGGCGTGCTGGGATGGAGGTACTCCACAGAAAGGTTGCATAAAAGACCGCCTCCAAACCCCCAACAAAACTAATGTGGCAAGCCCAAAAAGACTCTCCGAGTCAGATATATATCAAACCTAATAGCAGTCCATGAAATACTTCATGCTTCAAATGACCTATGATAAACCATGGTTTATCTTATTTTGTTGGTGGTTTATTTTTATTTTTTACAAACAAAACAGCATTTTTTTCGGAAGATCTCCCAGCCATGGACCAAGGCCTTAGCCTTGAGGTGTTTGGCCTTGAAGTCCAATGAGCGATGGCAGGCTTGGTCCATGCTGCACCGTTATGGGCTCGTTTTCCAGGACGTTTCACCGTTGGTGGATTTCACGATACCAAACCTGTGGATTTGTGCCTCCGAAGAATTGGAGATGGTAAACTACGGCTAAAAGGGAACCAAGGGAACCAAGCTGGGGGGCGATTTTGTCGTGGATTCTCCAGACCTTGCATTGGATGTTATATGAGATTGTTGGTGATATATACATATACATATGAATATGGGCATGACGTGTTTCACCGCCCCCATCCAGTGTTTTCAAGTATTCTATATGTGCACGTTTCAGAGATGTTGTGCACGTTTCAGAGATGTTGTGCACGTGTCAGAGATGTTGTGCACGTTTCAGAGATGTTGTGCACGTGTCAGAGATGTTGTGCACGTTTCATAGATGTTGTGCACGTGTCAGAGATGTTGTGCACGTTTCACAAGCCCCCTAACAATCTTCGTGTTCAACTGCATTGGGGCGACCAAACACGTTCTCCCGATATATATATATACAATATATATATATATACAATATATATATATATACAATATATATATATATACACAATATATATATATACAATATATATATACAATATATATATATACAATATATATATATATATTTTGTATATATATATATATATTTTGTATATATATATATACAATATATATATATATATTGTATATATATATATATTGTATATATATATATTATCCCATCAATTTCTATCTGTTCTCGGAGTCCCTTGGCCACGTTGGAGGCAGCCAAGCTGCTTCGCCAGCGCTTTCAGGTGGACTTGGGGGTTTTCATTGCTGGGGTCTGAACATGTGGAAATTGCAAAAATGTCCATAGGCATTACAGAGAATCCCAAATGGAAAAACATCTGATATGATTCCAGCCGTCAACATGAACAACCAAGCAGCAGGATATGACAGGCAGTTGAAGTGCCTCCCCGAACAGGCTGAAGCGGTGCGAGAGTACCGGTGTTGGTACACTGCTGAGGAGCCGTGGCCACTGGCGATTTCGGATTCGACTGAATGGTTGGGGATTCATGAGGTAAGGCCAATAATAAATTATCCCCAACCATTATTATTCATTATCCCAATTATAATGATTATAATCTATCTATGATAAATTATCCCAATCATAATGATTCAATAGAGTCAATAGAGGTCTTAGGGATGGTTGATTGGGTCGACCATGGTTGACCTCATTATACTTATTGCAAGCCATCATGTGATTTCCCATCGGCAATCTACAACGGCTTTCGGTCTCTGGCACGATGAGTTGATGACCGATGCTGAAGGTCCAAAGTGGTCATATTTCACCTACTATCAATGGTAAGATATTGCAAGACATGGCAACTGTATGCAAATGTTCAATCTCATCCTTTTCGCCATGTTTTTTGGGGTTCCATAGGTTCCAAGGGGAGAACATTAGAACATCCCAGCTTTTCAGAGGTGAAGCCTGGATGAGAGACTCCCATCACCTGCGAGGACAGCAGCTCTGGTAGTTGTTATTTCTGCCACACAACCACGGGCGAAGCCATGTGCAGCACTCAGTGCCGAATGCTTCGAGTTTCGGGTTTGGTTCTGATTCTCTTGAGATCAAATAGAAGTTCATATAGCTGGCAGATAGCTGATATAGCTGATATAGCTGGCAGAAATGGGGATCCACCAAAAAACACACAATCACAGGGATCCACAGGGATTCACAGGGATCACTTTAATAAATTTTAATCATCCCACCCTGTGCCTTGATGCAGGTGGGAACACCCTGCGGGCGTCGTCCTACCACAGTTCTATCTGAAGATTAGGCACGGGAGTAGCAGTCGAACATGTCACCACCAAACATGTTCCTGGCCTTGTTTCAGATGGTATTTGATTTGGGATATAAAGCAAAATCAAATAGCTATTCGAGAGTTGATCCGTTTTTGAAACGGGTTTTCATCGTGAAAAATAAGCCCAGGCCAGGATGCTCAAGTTTGGATTGGCTTGGCCATTTCGCTCTCGTCCTGCAGGTGTGCCGAGTTGCTTCAGGACAACGACTACCTTCGAGGCAGTCGCGGCATTGAAGCATAAGAGTCTTCCCAAAAATCCCAACAAAAACCGACTATTCGGGTGGATGTTTGAGTCCCAAGTGTGATTTAACACACATTCCAATGGGAGATATCCAGCTATATCCTCCAATCAAGAAACTTAGCAAAGCCTCCAGCTATTGAGGTCAAAAGTCATCGGAAAGTCGCCAGGTTTGTTCGAGGCTGAAGACCCCCCGACGCCAGAAGGTCGCAGTTGCTGATGGAGATCTTTTTGTGGATCAAAATAGTGGCAGAATTGGTAGGGTGGAATCCCTAGGTAAATGCTGAGAGAATTGGTTCCAGAAGTGGTGAATTGATGAGTCAATAAGTATAGCAACAACTAGGTCACTAGGTGAAGGCGCCCAGCCGCGAAGCTGACAGGCCGTATTGGAAGAACAATCTCCAAGCTCCTAGGTGGGACGACTTGAATCTGAATTTCTGGAAGATTCTTCACCCAAGTTCGGTGTTTGTCAACCTTTCATCCGCGAATTCAAGATCCCAAACGTTAAGTCTTGAGAGCAGACTCTTGAAGACAAAGTCAACGTATACCGTGGCAAAGTTCCAAAGTTCGAATTCGCCCCAAATCGCCAGAGTCATGGCCGCTTCTTGCTGGTTCATCCCCAGAGTTTGTGCATCTGGGGGTTATCCCTCATTGCTTGAGTGGATCACTGAGTCACAAACATTTTTTCCATCCTTTCCTATCCGTTCCTATCCTTTCCTATCCTTTTCCATCCTTTCCTATCCTTTCCAGTTAGTCCAATTGGACTGTCCCACTCGGCTGGCAGGTCTTCGTTCCGTCTCCAAAGATAGTCTGACGAGCCAGGCAGAGTGGCACAAGGGATCCTTGGGGATCCCTTTGGGATCCCTTTGGGATCCCTTTGGAGGTGGTAAAATAGTGTCATTTTTATAGGATCTTTTGATATACAGAGGGGATTCTCATGGGATGTTCTTTAGAAGAGCGTCATCTTCGAAAGGTGGACCCCGAAGGGGCCCTATCCATGACTTCGAGATGGGAGATCGACAGATCCAGGAATTCCCCAGGTTGGATTGCAGAGGGTGCCACTTTCAGGCTCAACTCTCCGCGTGCAGCACAGTGACGTGGATCAATTTGGCGCAATCCAGAGAAATGTTTCGTACAAATGGTGTGGTGAACGGTTTTTTCGTGGTTTTTCTTCTGCATCCCCTGGTTGAAACAGTGGTCAGACCTTGTTTCGTATCAAGTGCCGAGGGATCGCTGCCAATGTTGAGCCCGGTTGACCCCAACCCAGCTATTTCTGCTGACATTTTGCACCGATACGGCTTTCACCATCAGCATTGCTGGGTCGAATCGAGTGTGCAACGCCTGAAATGAAGAGATCTATTTTTGACCAGGATTATCTGATTATCTTGAAATTATTTAACACGCCTCAGAACAAAACCATGTTTATTATTTCTTACCCTGAGCGTTCACCCCTATCTACACAGGGTTCCCATTTAGTTATTTCAAGTTTCTCAAAAGTGAGACGCCGGTACAATGGGATATATGGGTATATTACATCTATTACATGTATTAGATGTATTACATGATGTATTGCACATCAACACACCCTTTGTTAAAAGCAATTATGAATGTTTCCGGCTAGCGCTGAGGCCTCGTTTCCTTCCGAGGGGCTCGATGATGACTCGGAGGCGCGGAAATCAAGGGGTAAACAAATTCGCATCCAGAAAACTGAACTTTTGTGGATTTTTCTCTTAGTCTTCTTAGTTGAGTGGATTACAGATATTATAGAGACTTGAATGACTTCGCCATGGTCTAGTTGTTCTTCTAGTTGATGATTTCCTACTCATATTTTAGGCAGATTCGTTCCCCCAAAATGCAGCAATGCGAGGTTGGGGAAAGCCGGGGTTGCGGTTCCTTCAGTTCAGTGAAGCTCTGCACATCAGGCAAGTAGTTCCAGAATGGACACGGATATAGCTTAGAAGATGGGTTAAAAAGTTAAAACCTACAGTTTATCATCTTTTAACAGATTCTGGTTTTTGTTCACGTCATTGAAAGTCCATTTACCTGCTATTTCGAGGTTCATGATAGCCAAATCACAAACTCTCCAGGATGAGAAGGGCATAGAGTCAGAGGATGAGGCAGGCAGATGCCGTGCTGCGATCATCGGTGTTTTTGAGATGCTTCACAAGTGGGTTGGATATACGTGTGTATATATTAATATACATATTATATATGTATGCAGCATGCATGTAATATATATATATAGTATAATATATAATATAATATATAATATAATATATAATATAATATACTATAATATAATATAATATATATATATATAATATACTATATAATATAATATATAATATAATGTATAATATAATATATAATATAATATATTATATAATATATAATATAATATATAATATAATATATTATATAATATATAATATAATATATATTATATAATATATAATATAATATATATTATATAATATATATAATATAATATATAATATAATATATTATATAATATATTATATAATATATAATATAATATAATACAATATAATATAATATAATACAATATAATATAATATAATATAATATATTATAATATAATATAATATATATAATATAATATATAATATATTATATAATATATAATATAATATATTATATAATATAATATCATATAATATAATATCATATAGTATAGCATTCTATGCACAGATTGTTACATGTTGTGGAGATATCCCCCTTATAACACATTCAAAACAGCGTTGACCTTCATGGACCATCCCCATCCATCACCCTTAGGCGGCACCCGAAGTTGCGCTGCTGGTGGACAGTTGGTCCCTTGAGCCATGAGTTCCGGACGTTTTGGGAGTCTTCGTAAGCTCAACGCACCAACAGAGACTTCTGGAAAGAGAAAGATGTTGGAAGATGTTGGAAGATGTTGGAAGATGTTGGAAGATCAATCCGGATGCCGAATTTCAGCAAAGGTGTTTCCCGGTTGAACAGCTACCAGCTCCCAAGACGACCAAGACGACTGGTCGAATGACAACTGACCACGGTCGTTTCCGGTGGTTTCCCTTGGTCTTTCTCACCAAGCCAAGTTGAGGAGATTTACCCTGTAAAATCCCTGGCCTTTAGCTTTTCACAGACCAATAACTCACCCCGGTGTCGTAGACTCCTAGCTGTCCTAGCTGCTTGTGACATTTTATGATCCCAACTGCTTGGTGGCGGTAGCTGCTGGGAAATGACACTCATTGCTTCATGGAGATGATGAGAACCTATCTGAGGTGAAGCTGGTAGTTTCAACACATTTTTCTGATTTTCCATATCTAAAAATGGGATGATCTCATGTGATACTTCTCTTTGGGATAGGTTGAAATCACTAACCAGACTCAATTAGGGGGTTTCCATAGTCATGGGGGATTTCCAATAGCTGGATGACTTGTAATTCCGCCGGCCCTCTAGCCTTTGGCTTCCAGGAGTAAAGCTGGTTGGTGTAAAAGGTCGGTTTGTCTAAAACGTGGTTTGTGCAAAAGTTGGGTTGTATAAAAGATGATTTGTGTAAAAGCTGGTTTGTGTAAAAGCTGCTTTGTGTGAAATCTAGTTGCTGTAAAAATTGGTTTCTGCAAAAATTGCTTGGTGTAAAAAGAGTGTTTGTGTAGAAGATAGTTTGTGCAAGACCTTGGAGGTTGAACAGAAAGGAATCAAGTTGGTAGATGCAAGTGGCATGGCTGTGAGAGTGTGTGCGGAGAAGGCCGTAAGTGCAGAGGAAGGGCAGAATTTGCAGGTGCGTATGGAAAGTGCTGGGCGCAAAAGCTGCATGTTAGCACGCACATCCGTCGAAGAGAAGACTTCAGGTATATAGCTATAGCTACAACTAGATCTCAACCTATAGGTACCAGTAGATCTCAACCTAAAACTATAGTTGTAGGTACGACTAGATGTGAACCTAAAGTTAGAATCTGGAACAAGATCAAGCCAATGCTGTAGCTGAAACTTGAATAAGATCAAGGTACTACTGTAGCTAGGACTAGAACTCGAATTCAAACTAGAACAAGATCAAGATGTAGCGGATATAGCTCTAGCTGGAATGGAGCTAGAACTCAATCTCAAACCAGAACAAGTTAAAACCAGGGAGAAATTTAGAGAAGAAACTGAAGAAGAAGTTAACAGTTTAACGCAAGATAGACCAGGAGATATTGTAGAACTAGGAATCAACCTAAGGCCAAGCCTCAGCCGAAAGGCTATACCCAACCGGAGCAACACAAGCAAACGAAAAACCAGCGTAGCAATCTAGAGCTCAAACTAAAGATATGACAAGGTTTGTAGCAAGAACATCCACACACGCCAGCAAGATTTTTTCTCATGGATGATTTCGGGGTACCTTTAGGAAACCTCCAATTTCGGCGTCCAAATCCCACAGTTTCAACTTCGCCCGGCAGCTCGCCCATGCTCGCGGATGCTCGTGGCGAGCGTTGGAGTGCCATCGGGAAGGCATCCCAACATGATTCGTTCTTTTGGTATTCACAACATTTTAGAACATTCATTGATAGTACACAATAGTAATAAATAAGAATGAATAAGTTATAATAGATAATGATATTTTTTCTAACTAAGGAACACCTAAGTTTTATGTTAGGTTTCTGGAAGCTGAGCCCAGTGGCTGGGTTGAACCACCTATACCATCCAGCTCCACCTGTGCTCGAAGATATGGCGACGACAGGGGCCGTTTGCCCCGACACGATGTCTGTTTGAAAGCCAGCACAATGGCCATGCGAAACGTTCGAAACGTGGGCACATTGGTGATCTTGAGTTTGATGTTGCCCCACATTTTGAGTTCCTTGGATATTCATCACATTTTGCTAGGGCTCAAAAAAGATCTAGAATTGGATGGTTGAGCACCATTGAACCATTTGTGGTTGTCTTTGGCGTCCCGTGTTTGAATATGTTCGAGCACCAGTCGATGACTACGGTCCTTTTTTTTTGATGGTTGAAATCCCTCCCTGTTTCTTGCTTCACTTGCACATCTTGCACCCAAAAAGATTGAATCCCCCAGATGGCTGTTCAGTCCAGATCACCAACGTCACCAATGTCCCACCATTGTCCGGTCGAAGAAGCTTGAGCTCCTGCAACTCTCAGCCGTTGGGGCTCTAGGATTTGGACACTGGGGCCATGTGCCACAAAGACGCCCTGGGCGGGAAAAATCCGGTTACCATCAATGTGGGCCCCCACCGGATGCAAATGAGGATTTAACATGATTTAACCATACCTAATCATAGTTGACCAACCACGGTTTCGATTCACGCAAGAAAATGGCAGTGTATCTACCAACAATTGGAGGGTTTGCGGATTGGAGTTGGGACACGAAATGGGGCCAAGATACCTAGGCCTAGGCACCCAATTTTTGTCCAGTTTCGGGACTCAAAAATCCATAGGTTTTGGTCATGTTTGGTCTTTTCGGTTTGAGATCATGGAATCTTGTGGAGTTCCTCATTTTGACAAACGAATCCAATGTTGTCCAAGATTTTGTTGGAACATAGGAATATCCCAGGTCCCTGAAGGTGTGTGGTTTTAAGTTTGAACATGGCCCCTTCAGACGCTGCACGGTGGCATCGTCCAGCGGGCTGCAACGACTTGTGGCTGTGTCATGCTGGGGGGAACCAGTTGATTTAGGGCTATCTGTGGGATGACCATCCATTTAGCCATGAATTTTTGGTGCAAAAACCAAGGGCAAAAGGGTTTTGATCCATGATCCATGGCAAAGTTTCCGAATTTCAGATTGTGTATGGAGTTCCAGCTCCTTGCGTTGCCTTCGGGCAGATCTTTGGAGATTCACAGATGGTGTCAACAAGGAGCACTTTGGGGCAGCACCATCCAGTTTTGACACGCCGCTAGCACGATCCACGACACGATGGGACCTCTTATCCTCGGTTCTCACCCGGTTGAAACTTTGGATTGGTGAGAAATCCAGCTGATCAAATGGATTGGAACTTGGCAAACACAAACAACAAAATTAGGAGAGAAATTCTGAGTTTCAACTGCTTATGCCAGTCAGCCCAGCGAAGCTCTGTCTGTGATCGGCAGGAATTGCAAGGGGACTGGGGCACACCCACGGCCCAAAGTGAATTCAGGACCACGTTGTTCAGAGCTGAAAAAACCCCAGTTCCACCTAATAAAACAGACATTTGGGTCATGTCCCTACTCATATTATTCATCAACTCATCAAATTCTTGGGATTTTGAGCCACTGCCATGACCAGTATCTGATCGCCAAAGGTGCAGACAGAACTTGCAGGGGATGCACTTAAGAATTGAGCCATCAAGAGGGCCTTCCGAACTCATGTGATCCCTGTTGGTGGGGTTAGATGATTTTGTTTCATTTGGATTATTGTAGTAACAGTAAATAAGATTAAATAAGTATGATCATTGTTGATGAAGTCACGTTTGTTAATGTGAATGATCTGAGTGAAAGCTTTTTGTTTCTGGATGCTAGATGCAATATGATGCAATCACATACCCTTTAACGTTCCAGCGAGCCCAATTTGGGTGCATGTGTTTTGTTGCACCGTTCCCAAATACGGGTGAAGTTGTCGTCCGTGTTTAGTGCGCCGGCTGTTCTTTTTTGCTTCTGGGCATGGCCACTAACCAGCTTGTTTCTTGGGATAATCATCCCAGCATAGGAAGGTTCAAAGTCTCAATCCCTGAGTTTCGACGGGAAGGTGCCCAAACTCACAACGGTAGCCATTACGGCTGTCGTGGCCTGTGGCTCTTCGCCTCTGTAGTATTAGGACCTTACTGTCTATGCAATCAGTCACGGGAATGCGCTCCAAGTTCCTCGATCCATCCCTTTGATGATCCAACATGACTTTCACAGGTTTCAAGAGGTGTTCAAATTGTTCAACCACCCTACCAGGCACAAAACGTCTACTTTCTCAAGATGATGGTAAAATGCCTTCGCTGTGGCAGGCAAGTGACTATATCTTCGCAAGATCTTTGTTTGATCCCCTAGGTCTGTTCCGCGTCCGCTGACCCTGATTTGGGATCGACATTCACGAGTTCCAGCACAATGTGACATGATGGTTTTTCCATCATATTCCTGAGCCCAAGTTATTTCGGCCCCCGACTATTGCCTAGGGTAGCAAAAATAGCAAAAGAAAGCTCAGAAAATGATGTCTGAGCTTTGCAAATAAAGATGTTTCCTTCACATCTTTTTTGGCTTCGTTTGCGCTCATAAGTCTCGTGACTCAAGGCACACCTGGCGAGCCGAACGCTGGGCTGGTCAGGGCAAAGTAGTTGCCACCCTGTGCAGCACAGCTGATGGAAGTTTCAGAAGCGGATTCACCCGGGCAAACCCGGTGCCAAGTTGAGAATTACAGATGTCATCAGATGTCAAGGAACCCCCTTTGGCCATCAATAGTTAGAGACATGGTAATGAGAGAGTATCTAAAGCCATCTCCAGGCAGTCAATATCAAAATGCAGCCATCCTCTCCTGAACGGTTCTGTGAAGTTGGTGTCGCTTGCCACATTTTAAGATCTCCACTTGCCTTGGGGAATGGACAATGATGGATGAGCTGTGTTTTTAAATGTTTATCATCTCAACCTTGCACTTATCAACCTGGGTTAACCTGGGTTGATGACCCGGGTACAACATGTTCTTTCAGGGTTCCAACAGATTTCTGGCTCGAGTCTCAGGGCGTCGTTTCAGGAATATCTATTTCACGGTGTCGCCGTGGTTTTAACACACCAGAAATTTAACATGGCTGCAAAGTATAACTTTTGGATTAAGTATATCATCCACAATCTGGGGAAATGATTCATTGCTCTGCTTGCTGTTAGTGACTGTTAGTGCATGC